CTGGGATATTGGCCCTTGGCGAGGTTGAAGATCGGGTCACAAAGCCCCGCAGCCGCGCTGAACGGTCCACAGTAGCCCTACGGTGGGCTGTTCAGTCACAGTCCTGCAAATCGATGCTTGCTCAACGTCAGCGAATCATTTCGAGCTCACGTCTGAATCCCATCACAGGTCTCTCTACAGTTATCGTAGCCAGCTGAGTGTGCAAGCTCCTGGACCTTCACCATGCGCGCAACGTCGCGACTTCTCGCGACTGTCAAGTCAGCCTCCAAATACCTCGAGCCAAATACTCCTACTGGGCTAACAGGCCTCACAACACATCCATCACCTCGTCCTGCGTTGGTATGGACATATCGCCAAACGCTCAAGAAGCTCGAGCAGATTCCTAGAAACTCCGTGTATCGGCAATCAGTGGAGGCACTCACGAAGCACCGCTTGGAGATCGTCGAATCCACGAAACCTGAAGGCTACGAACAATGGCTGGAAAGAGTCAAGAAACAGATCGAAGCCAGTCCAAAAGCTTACTCCCAATTGCTAAACGAGGAAGGGTCGCTGGCTAGCGAGAAACCGCATGTTGAGCACATCGACAATTGGGACGGCCAGATTACGCGAGCTGATGCTCACCCTGAGGGTACAAATGATATGGCGCAGGCGGAACGCAAGACAAGAGCGGTAGAAGAGGAAGTCCGAGCCAAGAACTTGGAAGAAAAGGAAGGAATACAGCCCACGGTCGAGGATCTGGAGGTTGAGCCACCGTTGACGAGGGAGCAGTATGTTTCCACTCCAGGTTAGAGTGCTATGCTGACCATCCTTCGCAGGATCAGTGCTCTTGAAACAAAGATCGGGGCTGGGCTGATTGAAGAAGTGATTGCGGTTGCCGAGGGCGAGTTGTTGCTGGTGGATGAAATGTTGCGGCATCAAGTGTATGTTTCTGTGCCTTCAATCCCTTTTCCATACTTCGTATCGCTGACTACGGTGCAGATGGGACGAGCTGGAAGAGAAATCTCCGGCCGGGCAATGGAAATACTTTGAGCGTGGAGAGCGAGTCTAGGTGATGGTCGACTGGATAGCACAAAGGAATTGTATATATCGCATCCTGAGACCCAACAAGAAGAAATCGGTGTAAAGGCCGGCGCGTTGCGATCGCAAACCTACATCATGTGGTTGTAGAGCGAGGAAGTCAATGCTATTGATCGAATCCCATTGCACGGTGATCTTGTATGCTTATTGTAAGCAAGCCGTCTGTTGAGGATGTCGGCCGCCGCGCTTGCTCTCACCAGATCATCCCATCTAATATGTACAATCCTCTTGCGCGTCTCAGCTCCCCAGCATCGGGACCTCGAATCGCAATGGTCCTTCAGAACGGGTTGTCCTCCGGTGGCACCTCTCTGACCCAATAGCTTCCAATCACTGGCAATTTCGAGAGAATGTCTTCCCTGACACGGGGGACTTCGCCAAAGAAGAAGACTGCAAAGACGCCCGCGGCGACACCGAAGCCTGAGGCAATGTATCCCAGTCGTAAAGCTTTGCCGGGAGTTATGCCCATCAAGTTGGGAATGTGTTTCGTTCTGTTGCAGGCAAACAAGCAATCTGTTAGCTCAATTCCAAGCACATAATTCATCTGTAGCGGGCATGAGAGTCAGGGCAGGATCAGCGTACTTCGGTCCGTAAGGTGAAATATACGTCTCGTACGTTGGCTGCGGTTTGTACACGCGTAGGGGCGTCCGGCCGGAGCCATAGCCGGTTTCGAAGGCGGGTAATCTCAGGGCTCGTGTAGGAATCATGCTGGGCAGGGATCTAGAGGGTGTGGACGCTGGTGTTCGGAGCTTTGAAAAGAAGTCGAACGTCGTCCGATGAGGTCGCAATTTGAGCTTTGAGCTCCGAAGTTGCGCAGTATGGGTACGGCGAGGGATATGACGCAAGAGCGCAAGATTATTGTTGACCAATCAAAGAGTCGGGAATAAGACGCTCAGTTCAAGATATATCTCTCCTGATCTCGTCAATTCTCTGTGCCCCGCGAGTACAGCGGTGCATGTGGTCGGTGTGTCGACAGTGTTATTGATACACTTCTCAGTCATGGTGGCGGTCAGAGCCAACACTCACGGTGCTGGATAGACGATCAACAATGCTAATTATGCTGGCTGCTAATTATGACATGGGATGACTTCTCGAGGAGGAGAGAGCTCCAGTCGAACATTTGAATCCAGGGTGCTCACGATCGCTCTGACCCATGGTATGGTCGGATCATGGTCAGTCCGCACGATGCATCAGAGTGCCCGGAATGAGGTTGACATGGTCTCGAACTCCTCTGACGGCAAAATTCTTTTGCTGCACTGAGGCACTTCACCCTCATCTACGTGCGACCTTGTCGACATTGATCCCCTAGGCACCAAAGAATCGCGCGCTTCTCTGCGCCTGAGAATTACAGCAATGAGAGACCTGAGCAAGCTATTTGACCAGCTTGGTACCACATACGGCACGGTCAAGTAAACCTTCGCCATCATCATTCCAAGCTAAGTGCCACATTCATAATACCGAGCAATAGCGGTAGCATGCTAGCGACCAAGCATCGAAGACGCTGTGCACAGAGCAAGAGACAAGGTGACTCGTCGCTACTGCCTCCGAGAATGTGTTGTTTCATGTTTGCAGGGCTGGTAATGCACCCGAACCGTTGGCGTTAGTTTCGACAACACAACAGACGGAGTTGGAACGACTCGGCTCTGCGCGACTTGCATTGGTCCTTAAGCGAGGCAAGCGTCTTGGACCAGCTGAGTGTGACGAAACTGCGATTGGCGACCGCGCTGTCCTCATTAGAATCGAAGAACGATAACCCGGCCATGTCTTGTTTGCTGCACTGGTCTCGAACACTTCGCTGGACATCTTCGAAGGTGCTGGATCGCAAGACCTTGAGACGCTTCGAGCGCCGCGTACTGCCGTGCTAGGGACGAACGTCATGTCACCAGCCACCGTCGTGGCAAATTAACAGTATTTGCAGGAACGATGCTCCCTCACAGTCAACACCGGTGTTTGGGTTGATCAAAACGTAATGAATGTCCCGATCCTAGAATCAAAACTGCGATATGATGTGAGGTCAAGACCCTAACGATGAATCTGAAGAACGGGAATTGCGTGGTACCCATCGAGTCCCCCTGAATCAAGAGTCTTCGGGCGGCAGAAGGTTTGGAAAGATATGCTTGAAAACTCCGCCGCACCTTCGATTGGCTGTATCTGGGTACATTTTTATCACCACAGCAAGACAGGGTCGAGAACACCAGCTTGTCCAAAGTCTGGGAAGCAACTTTGAAGCAGGAGCCAAAGTCATCCGTGCTCCTCGAGGATTGCCGTGGTTCCATGCGACATTCGTCCTGACAAGCCCCCTTAATAGCCTAAGGGATGTGGACGCTTTTGAGGGATGATCAACAAGCTGAAGAGAGTGTGCTGAAGAATTCACGAGGCCGCAGCCCCGTAGATGAAAATGTCGAAGGCTGGCTTTTGTCGACTTCTGTACGGTTAGGGTCTTCCCAAATTTGTTCTCGACAGGTCCTTCGCGATTATGCAGAGGCCAAGCCTGCTCTACTCACATGTGACAGATATCATTCGTCTTGGAACCTACCCAGTAGTGTCCACCTGACCACGTTTTCTCCGAGTTTCCAACAACCTCCCCAGACCAGGCCACTGATCTTGAAGTTGACGATCATACGATGGCAACGCAAAGTCTTGTCCTGGGCGAGGCTGAAACCAGTCGAGCGTTGGCTGGCTTTGATTTGCGGAAGACTTGAGAAATCCGCCTGGCGTTTGCCTTGGGGCCTCGGCACAGGGCTGGGCATTTACGCAGCAGCGCTCAAATGCGTCGCCGAGAATACGGATACGTCCTACCCCAGGTTTGGCGAATAAGAGCACTTGTGTTGAAAGCACGAGACCATCACGATCTAAATATACTCGAAAATTCTGTGGAGGTTCCTGCAGAGTATCTCCTGCCTGCTATCGAGTGGGTTCCGTAACCTCGAGTACGACTGTCGAGAGAAGTCGGAAGTGTAAGGCAGACTACACAATATTATTTCGGCCCCTCAAGTCGAGCATATAAAACCGGCCGGGACGGACGCTTTGGGCCCTTTTCGATTTCCAGCCTCAGGCACGGCGATTTATTGCTTTGTTATATGCATGTCTCAGTATTATCCATCTTACATAACCTCACCGCACTTTGCACATTTCTCGCGGCAGCCGAGCCAAACACGAGTCCGGAACATCAGTCGGTCGACTCACGGAGCGGTTTCAGGCGGGCTGAGTGGTCCGATTTCTGAGGCACGCTGCCCGAAGAGGACCGAGGAGTGACAAGACGTCCAACGCTGACGCAAGCACTCCGCATCAGCATTCTCAGCATTCTCAGCAATTCAGTTCTGGGGTGGGCCGTGTTCTCGGAGTCGCGTGCAGTAATCCAGGCGAATCTGTGGTGCCGGGGGCCCATAAGGCCCAGCATTGCGCAGCCTTCCGTGCGCATCCGAGCGCGCCAGCCACCCATCAGCCTTCCGGCGACCAGTTCCTCCAAGCACCAGACCCCTGTGCATTTATCCACAATCATCGTAATTGCGGATCCCCCGTTGTTGTAAAGGTCAGTACACGGAGTACGTGGTCACGTTGAGGAATTATATCTCTCAGTCAGCCCCGGATATCTGGGATCTCTCCCTTTTCTCCCTTCATTTCGTGCCCAGACACACAACCAGAGTCATAACCCCCCTCAGCCTTGTGCCGAGACCGGTGTCAAAAATGGCTAATTCAGACATACTCCCCTCATACAATGCCTTGTTTCCCGAAGAAGAAACTAACGTGGTGGTCAATGGCCGAAGACGTCACACAACAATCACCCTCCGTGAGATCTACTACCCGGGAGGCTGTCCGTGCCATCCACGGGAGAGGAAACCGAGCAAGAAACCGGCCAAGTCGAAACAGGACCGCTTGAAATCACAGCCCAACATCTTTGAGCCCGACCCGCTGCACGACTGTCTATGGCTCGGCCACGCACGCCCCACCGTCGCCGAACGGTCAGCGAGTCAGAGCAGCGCGAGTTCGTCGACGTCCAGCAGGAGCACCAGCAGCAGCAGCACGACGAGCAACGGCACTTCGACCTCAGCTCCTCCACGCAGGGACTCGATGGCCCCATTCGCCGATTCCAAATCCTCAAAAGCACGCCCGTGGGACTGGTTTGTCCGCAGAACATCCGCTTCAGCGTAGTGGATGCGGACGCCGGGATTGCCCAGACGGGGCATATCTTTGATCTATCAACTCCCGCGACCGAGCCGATCTATGTGACGAACGACCTGAAATGGTGGAAGCAGAGGTATTTCCTGCCACCTTCGTTCGAGGTCTTTCCGGGTAACGCCCACAAGCATGGGAGTCGGAGCCAGAGGACCGCTAGCCGGCGAGTCGCCCAAGAGGGGAGCGAGATCAGCGGGTTACCACCGTCACCACCGCACGACAGCTTGACATTTCCCGACTCCCGGTCCCGCGCCCACAGCACGACGGGGCAGACGGAGAAAGCGTATCCAGTTGCCGAGATCAAATACCGGGGCTGGCAAGGTCTCACGGGCATGTCTGTCGCGCTGACGGTTTACAACATCACGCCCGAGATGCACTACCACAACCATTACTCACACGCCCTGGCCGACGACCCCGATTCAACGCCGGACATCCGCTCCCGGTACCTGATCAGCCGCACGGGCTGGAAACGCGAGTACATCCTCACCCCGGGTGGCTATAAGTGGCGGTCTCCCTCGCCAGTCGAGAAGAAGGACATTCTCGCGGCTCCGGCCGTCGACGACGCAACGCCGGTCGGGCACGGCAATCTGATCCTCGAGGATGCCGACCAGACGCCCGTGGCCGTGTACAAGCAGCGACGGGACCACGAAGTCCTCGGCACACTGACGGTCTTGCTCCAGCACGTGAATGAGACCGGGTCCGACGGGAGGAATGGGCACGGACAGGGCCACGGGCACGGTCATGGACACGGAAAAGGAAACGACGGCAAAATCACCACCGAGGCGGTCCTGGCGAGTTGTCTAGCCGTCGTGACGTACGAACGGATTGGATGGCAGAATTTGCTGGGCCGTTGACGGTGCTTGCAATCGGCCATATTCTGTGTTCCTGTGGTTCTTCTTCTACCACGACGTGGATGGACACTATGGACGGACACGATGGACGCGCTGGCAGGCGTTCTCGCACTCGAGGATTGTCGATTGTCGATTGTCGATTCCTAATACCTGGCTGATTCATAGCTTCGGTTCTTTGGGATCTGCATCTATGTGTATACAGATATTATACCCCGTCCCACGCCGTGAAGTCGTGAGTACGGAATAGGCTAGGTAAGGGCTATGTATCACTCCGGTCTATCTCGCTTACGTTGATCATGCATCCACGGGATCTACATAGCATTCAGCATGCTCGTGGGAGTGAGTGACTTGAGTCAGCCCGAGGCTTGTACTGTAGTACACAGATTACGGTGTAGGATTCCGTGGGATTTTATTAGCAGCTCGGTCTGTACTTCTGTACTGGGGTACTTCTGCACTTGTGCGCTTTCCGTATTCTTCATGCTGGCATCACTGTACTCCGGAATAGTGCATCACATTCTGTCACATCGCCGTCTTCAGACACACATGTGAACAAGTACGGAGTAATCGAGTTGATAACTGACCTCGAAAATCGCATTCAGACGGGAATGCCCCGATCCCGAATCTGCGTACTGCGTATAAGAACTCAAGACAGCTTGACTGATTACCACGTACAGTAGGGAAGTACTCAGTACTTGATACGTAGTAATTACAGGAGCTACTTACTGCCCTTTATGGTCCATTGGCGCCACTTGTGCCCTTGTCAGTGTGGTGCCTTGCCCGCCTCGCCTGCCCTGCATGCACTGCCCGCCTGGACTCGGCACAACACAGTCAGCAATACTTGTATTCATTCGCAACGACAAAAGGCCTTCGTCGCTTTATATCGTATCATCGTTTCGCGCACGCTGGAGTGAATGTGGACGCGCGTAGTGGAGGCCCCCTATTGTCCTAGGTCTCGCTCACCGGCTTTCGCATCGTTCCTCGTCCGAGTCCTCTAGGCCGTAAACTGTGCTCCGTATCTCTTATATATTCCGTTCCCGCAGTTCCTGCGCTGCGTCGGACTGTGTAATATGTACGGAGTATTGCGAACACCATATGCCCCGCTTATGCTCCAGTCCGTCATCTTATGTCTGTTGTGCATTCGTAATTCACCCCGTGTCGACAATTACATTAACATCCGCATCATCACCGGCATGCCCCGGCCGGATCTGGCGGGCTCGGAGGACGTCGGATTCTCGGCACAAATTTTGGCCCGAGTCTGTACTCGTCCTCGTACTCTTCCACGTACGCCGTGGACAAAGAGAGAGAGAGAGAGCCATGGATTGGTAGGCTAAAGGATAGAATACCCGCCCTCGCGCTTGCACTCGTAGTGCTATAAGTCCACAGCCGTTTCCGGTTCTTCCGCGATCAGAAAACGGCAGTCTTCAATCGCATGATATTGAGCCCTCCGGATGAATCGATCTTGATTGCGGCGGAGCTGCTGTGGGAAAACGCTCTGGCAGGCGTCAACGCCCGTGAACACCCTGCCAGAGCAGCGCCGCTGTTGTTTCTCGGATGCTGGTGTCACGCTCTCATTTCTCACCGTCCAGGGCCTGGTCACAACCTGCTGCTCATTTTCATCATCTTCCCACCAGAACATTCTCGAGGCCGAACTGTTGGCTTTCCGAAATGAACGTGAACAGGGCGATCAATCAGCCTTATTTTCCATTGAGAACCCGGAACGATAAACAAAAGCAGTCTGGTCCCACTGCGATGGGGCCAGTGTGCTCAAGCGTCGACCTCCCTGGGTCCACACACGCCGCTCTCCAAAGACAAAGACCATGTTCTTTGCCGAGTGGTCGTGCGGCGGCATGAGTGTCCAGTCACATTCGACCCAAAAATGCAGCACTAAACATTCATACATATGTGGCGCTGCCGCAAAGTGGGAAAAAATGGTCGTAATCAAGCCGCCCTCTATCGTGTTTGATAGCACCGCCTGAAGCAGGGTTGGAACAGTGTATGCCTCGGCTCGCGGTGGTCCACCGTCATGCAACTGGAGTGACTCGACACAGACCATGTGGTCGTGCGGGATCTGCGCTTGGAGGTCGCGAATCTCAAAATGCGAGACTGACGGCAGCACTAGCCGCATCAGCGTGGGCGACCATTCCGGTACAACAGAGCTCGTCACACTCAAACTGCGAATACGGGCGAGTGTTGGAAGCATTTGTGGTTGCGTGAAACGCACGTGGTCCTCGACCGAGGCCAGCTTAAACGTCGCTACCCGAAGAAGTACAGGATAGGCCTCGTCATAGATCTCGCGACATGCGCGGAGGATGCTGAGGTCAACCGGGCGACGAAGGCGTGCAGAGATGTATTCCCCTAGATCTAGATCACGATCCCAGTCGGGCACAGATTCAAGGCCGATGGCGATGGCATTGATCAGACTGGTGCGTGGAGACTGTCCTTCCCAAATGAGGGCAGCGTGAAGCCCACGACCAAGATCTTTCCATGCTGGACTCAGCACCAGACCGGCGAAGAGCGCTTTGTAGATCTTGACTCTAACTTCCGCAGGGAAGGTAAGCAGAGAGTGGGTCATATTGCAATGTAGCTCCGACGATGTGGATGTGGTAGGCATCGGGGGAGGAGACCTTGGTCAGATGGATCTGAGAAAGCAGCGTCAGAAAACGAAGCTGGATTGGAGATGCAAGAGTGCTTTCGAACCATCTCACTGGCGCGGGAGAGGCACTGGCTTCCGCAAACCACCGATTGTTCTACCGCGCTTTGAGTGTAGTCGCTTTCTGACTGCACACAGTCCGCTCATCTACTTCGACTTGTGTCATTGATTCAGCTGTCGTAGTGGAGGATGGTTCCCTTTGGCTACACCATTTTCGGCATGGCGCATCTTGGCAAAGACGGCGTCTATCTGCCGCCCCAACGGCCCGCGTTGGACCGCGCAAGCGAGACTGAGGATATCCTCGACCTGTGGTAAATCTCTATGGATAATATATTGCTATGACAGGCCTGCTATGTAATGATAGTCACCACCCTCTGGGAATGAACTCCCGTCCGATGCAGTCTCGTCTCGGCCTTGGTACCTTCCACCCGATCTCATTCGTGGAGGATTCATTTCACAGATCCTACCCCCAAAATGCACCTGACCAGCCAAAGGACTCCCCTGCAGAACCAAACACCCACCCGCAACACCCTCAGTACCACTCTGAGGATCCTTACAGCCAACGCACCAACTGCCGCAAATACCAACAGGTACAGCAAACTTCTCGCCATATCCATGAAGAACCCGCCGACCGTTTCTCCTCTGCTCATGTGAAACCTTACCTTGCCAGTTTTGGAGTAGACGAAGATGATGGCCCAGACCCTCGAAGCTGTCTTCGTCATAACCTGCGCCATCTCCCAGGCTCGATGAAGCAAGTCCCCACCTATGGTGAGGATCTGGGGGTGGGTCTTCACCCACATCTTGGTGGCTTCGAGGGGGACAAAGACAATTTCGTGGAGAGCGGTATAGGAAGTGAGATTGGGGATCTGGACTTCGATGGTGTTGGTGCTGGTACCGCTTACGTTACGGCTCCCAAATACCTCATTCTTACCTGCAGAGCAGCCAAGGGCGAGGCCGATGGGTGAGGGAATCCGTAGACGGGAGCCGCTGACTGCTCGACTGGACTCGGCACCGCCGCTGGCATTTCGCGAGGTGATACCCGGGCCAACGGTGGGTAAGCTGTTGCTTCTCTGCCTCCTGTGGATGTTGGGTCGCGCGAGAGTAGCTTTCTGCTGAGTCAATCCTATTGCACTCATTGCGGCTGGTATTGCCGCGCTCGCTTTTGCAGGCCCTGGCAGCTTGGAAGCATTCAGTGCAGCCGCAACGGCGTCGGTTTGGCGCCTGAGCACATTGAGTTTCGAGGGTATCGCGAGTGTCGGGCTCTGCACTGACGGTTCAACCGGTAGCTTCGACAATGCTGCTTGGATATGCCTGTGGTCAGATTTGGATTCCTGAACCATCCTCGGCGGTGATTTTCGCGTAGCCTTGACAACATCCAAACCCTTGATCTTTGATACTTGTTCCGACTTGTCAGTTTTGGCCTTTGCAGGGGCTTCTGTCCCTGTCACAAGAGCCGATACTCCAATGCTACTGCCGGTGGTCTGAGCTTGAGGCCACATGCTGTTGGCTGGACTGGGCGAAGCAGTCGGGCTGGGATGTCCCAGACATCCTTCATGGCAGTCTAATTTACAACACTGAGGGCAACAGATGGAATGATCACGTTCATCACTTTCAGACTTTCCATGTGACAGAGTTGTTGGACCCTGCTGTGCAATGGCCTCTTTGCAGAATGTGGGATCCCCTGGCAGCACTGGCAGCGGGCTTCGATATGGATGCAGTGGTTTAGTACCCTCTTTTGCTTCGGCGACGTCCTTCTGGAGGTCGGACGTATGGGTGACACTATCGGTATTGTGAAGCTTGACGTCCACAAAGCCATGAATGCAGCGGCTGCACTTCCTCATCAGGCCACAGCTGGTCGACGTCACTTCTGCCTGGTCGGGAAGCGTCTTGGTTTCGGATGGCAGGACTTGAGAAGCTTCCACTCGCGGCTTCAGGGCCTCTGGCATCACTCCTGGCTCTCGGTCTGGGATCCCTGTTGTCGAAAACGTGTCGATGGGTGTCAGCATTTTCTGTGACTGATGGTCTCGCCATGTCATGTCGCATCGTCCTCGGTGCTCGACCTTGGGAACGCCGTACACCCCCTCCGCCCTCGCGGGCCTTGTTGGACGCGCCATCGCTCTTGGTCGGATTCTTGGCAACGGGGTGGACATCATAGAGTCTGCACTTATGTTCATGGCGGTGTTCATGATGATGCCGGAATCGCTTGGTGGAGCCGGTCTCCGCAGGAAGCCATGATGGCCACGATGCATGCGCAAATCCGGTTTCGTTGGCCTTGGGCCAACCTGCAGTGGCACTGGAAGGCCCGGTCCGTTGATGAATATGCCGGTGGGTGTGGTAGTGGTATTCAACAACGGGTTGAGAGCCAACCTCGTCTTCTCCAACACGCTCATTTCCGGCAGAGGCATGGACCTTGGACCCTCCAGCCTTGGCCCAGTCGTCCGTACAAACGGCGATGGGTGCCTCGGAGGGTTGTCGTACACCGGTACTGGCATGGTTCTTTCTCCCATCGGGTGCTGGTTCTCGGCCGGCGGAGGTATTGGGCATATCGGCCTTGCTGCCCGAATATATGGGTATGCTGGGTCGCCGCCTTCCCTCGGTCCCTGAGGCGCCTCGAGCTTGAATCGTTGGCGACCCTCTATGAGGTCTGCGGCCGTCCCTGTGGGAGTCGTGGGATAGGGCGGGCTGTTTCGTGTCGACTGGGATGGGCCACTGTTCATCGGCAGACATGGTAATTCTTTTTCGGCCATTTGTGGCCCAAAGATGCTGGTGATTTCTGAACTTGGGATGTTGGCTGGCTGGCCCATCCCGCGCGCCCCTAAAAAAAGGTCGCTAGCAGTAGTGGGCTGAGTCCCACACGGAGCGAAGTCGTAGGGCACCTTGCGCAGGTCTTTATTCACATTCTGGGGATTCAAGAAACCTCCCTTCGGAGCTTCTGGCGCAGAAGAGGAGCGCTGGCCGTCATTGAGTCTGGGCATTCGTAAAACGGTATCTGTGCTTTCATCGCTGCCTTCCTGGGTCTGAGCGGCACGAGCTCGCATCCGGTTCGGTGGACTTCCGACAGGTTTTCGCTTCACTGATGGGTCCAGTCGATAGGTCTGTGACACAACAGTGTCTCCATGTGCGTATGGATTCTCATTCAAGGAAAGGTTGTTCTCTATCGGCCGTTCCTTAGTGTGAAGGATCATCTCGGGTTCCAGGGGGCTGAGAGGCGCATCTCTGCTCTCCATCAAGCTGGGCCCACGAATAGAGTGCCAAGGTTTGGCGGCCACCAGTTTCTGTGGAATTCTCAACGGCTGGTGCTGATGCTCAGGAAACCTCTCCGTTTTGTTCGTCGAAATAGGCGTAGGTTCACCTACATCCAGGCTGATCCATTGATCACTCTTCTGTCGCCAGCGCGCAGGGCGGCGTGGGGCTTGGGTCTGCGCAGTGTAATCATCAAGAGAGCTGCTAGCGCTGTGTGAAGGTGTGACTACACCAGTCCTAGGATTTGCTCCCCGAGCAAGAAGGTAGTCATCACTTTTCACAGATTGATGCATGTCCGAACATGCGCTGGAATGTTGCGCATGAAGTCTTTCCGCTGATGTAGACTGACCGTCGGGTCGTTTGGCTAGGTTTTGCTTCGATTGACTGTGGTTGAAGACAGTGGTTCGTCGACTCGTCTGACTAGAAGGTACTTCCAAGACGGTTTCCAAGTTGTGCGACCGGTGCGACCTTTGAGACGGATTTGTGCCAACAGTCGAGTGTGCCCCGGAGAGGCGGCTTCGACTGTCGCGACCGCCGTCGGTATTGAGATCCGACCGTTCTCTAGAATAGCCAGAGTCACGACCACGGCTGTCGCGAGAGGAGCTTGAATTATACCGCAGCGGGCCTCGAAATCCCCAGTGTTCGGATTCGTCTTCGTTTTTGAATCTGGTATGCTTCCTGACACGGAAAGAGCCCACCGAATTTGATAGTCTATGAACAAGGCGAGATGAGCGAGAAGTGGACGAGTCATCTGAGGGGTCAGCATATTTGACCGGCATCCTGAGGTAACGGGGTGGTTGCTATGCTATGCAGTCCATACCATACGGTGGTCTGTGCACTGGGATGGTGGTAACGGTAACACTCGGAATTTTGAACCAGGATGGCTCGCACACTGCAGTGCTCTTGACGACGACCATCATTGATCAAGAGAGGAAACTGCGGCCCGGCCGTCAAGTTTTTCAGTGGAAGAACGGCTCACATTCTGTACGTCATGTATGCAACTCAGAGGGTATCTCGAATTAATCAATCTCGCGCCTGTGCTAGAATCGACCACTTTCTCTGCGGTTCTTATCTGACTGCAGGTGGCCCCATCTCTGAGTCGTAGCCCCGGAGGGCACGCTCATTCGCTTGTCTGGACTTGATGCTCGCTTCTCTGGACTCACTGGCCTATTATCGCGAGAAAAGTTGGTCGATGCGCTCTTCCGAAGAGGAGACCCAGCGTGACTGTAGACGCCGAGGCTTCCACCTTCACCGCCTGCAGTTGTCGGTCGAAAGTTCGGCTGACGAATGCTAGACAGAGGTCTTATGACTGACCCAGGCTGTGCACTGTGGACGGGTGAGCGGAAGTCCGGGGTCGATATTCGATGTCGCAAATTCGAGCTAGAGGCAGCGCCATCTGGGTTTGTGTACTGGACGTAGTTTGGATTGGGTTTGGGATTGAAACCCCGGTTGATTACCACCATTGGGGTGTAAGTGTCGACTTTATTATATCGTTCCTCTCGTGCGGCACTGTAGGCCGCCTGCTCGCTGAACTGGGTACCCACATCTCGGTACAAAGGCTGCGTCCGTGGTCTCACGTATTTGGTATCATACTCGTGGAGGACTTCTTTCGAAATGAAGGCGGAATCTTTGACCTGGGTGGAATAACTCGATTGAAGCCATGTGAGCTGGACGGAGAGCAGGGCCGCTACAAACATGGCTGTTGCAATTGTAACGCTGGGTCGTGGATCAGACGGTAACGTAGGCAAGAAGAGCCAATATACCAGGACATGTCCAGGACTGAAATAGCAAAATAAGCGGAGAGCAATAGGAAGCGGATCCCATACTGCGACCTCCCATACATCTCTTGTTGGGTTTGGGTGTGCTCTTGACTGCGCCGATTCTGTGCCAATGATACTCGATAGGTATTGTAAAGGTGAGGACGAGACAGGGGAGGAGTCGACTCGGACGCGTCTGGCAGATGGAGTACTGGGAACATCGTCCACTGAATTTTCGAAGAGACGGTAATGCTTCTTCCGCCAGAAGGTGTACACCGCGTTGACCATGCAGACCAGGGTCAGGAAGTGAACAATGAAGGTGGCCTGCAACGAATCAGCTATCCATCATATGTCTGCTCTCGCCATGTTTGTTCTTACCAGCCAGGTCGTCCATGCGACCCCAGGAATCTCACCAAACACGTCGTCATAACCAGTAGATTTTTGCTTCGTGTTTGCCCTGGCAATGATGAAGACAAGATTCAGGGTCAGGCCGATGGGAGTGGCCCATTCCTTCTCCAGCTGATCCCAGCCATTGGCTTCCAGTTCTTCCGAGAGCCATAGGAGAAAGTCGTAAGGGTTAAGGTGGCTTTTGAGCCGATCTGCAAGAGACTGCCGCCTCACAAATTTGGGCATCTTTCTCAGGGAGAAGTTGGACTGGAGTCCGCGAACGGCATCTCCTCTCGCCAGACACGAAGACTGACTTATACAAAAGGTGTCTGTTGGGTGAAGGGCCAGTGAGGGGGAAGTGAAATGGCAGTGAGAAGCGAGTTTCTGAACCTGGAGAATAAACAATGACGAAATGGCAGCCAATCGGAAATGGTTCCCCCGACGCAGGTACAATCTAAACGGTAACTCGCCCTCGCAGGTTCCCTTCATGAGCTTCTAACCAGCTCCAATTACATCTGAAAGTGAAGCGCGAATCTCAGCAGAGATGGCGGCGCCGGTGTCGGCGTACAAGGTAATTGAGAATTCTCACGACCAGCCGCCCGTTGCTGACCATTTTCCAGGACCGGCAGTTCATTGCTGTCATCGGGGACGAAGAGTAAGGACGCGGCGACCTAGGCTACAAGAATTATCGGCTAATTCTCTTCAAGCTCCGTCACAGGTCTCCTCCTTGCTGGTGTTGGCCATGTCACCGATCCCCCTGATTCCCAAAAGAATTTCTTGGTTTGCGATGCGAAGACGGAAAGATCTCAGATTGAACAGGCGTTCAACAGATTTACGAAAGAGCGGAAAGATATTGGCATCGTCCTGATCAACCAACATGTATGGCGTATCCAGCGGATTCATACTGAACATAGCGCTGACGAAAAGACAGCTTGCGGAACAGATACGGGATACTGTGGACAGGTTTCAGGATGCCTTCCCTGCTGTTTTGGAGATTCCCAGCAAAGACCATCCATATGACCCGGAGAAAGACAGTGTGTTAAGGCGTGTGAGAAGGTTATTTGGCGAATGATACATGAGGCTTCTTCTCCTTTGCCACAAACTGGAGTATCGTGGCCGGATTGCTGCAAATATACACGTACCAGCTCTGTCGACTTGAAGAACTGGGTCTGTCGGGCATTTGGTGAGGTCTATTTTGGCCCAAGGCATAAGAAACTCGAGCCGATGACGATTGAATGAAACGCATGATCATCAGCAAGCTGTTCTCAAACCAGACTTCCAAGCAATGCGGCAGCCCACTACTGAAAGCATTTCAACCTTGGTCTCTACCTGGAGCTTCTCATCTATTTCGCACTGTTTGGGCATTCTTTCGTGGTTGCAGTGTTCTGTTCAGCTTCGTTTTCAATGTACGGACTGGTTGCAGCCTGAGGCACTGGGTACTGCCCGGGGTAACGTTCAGCCGTACGGCCCTGAGAAAAGGCATAGGCCCGGCTTGGGCAACTCACCGAGTCGACCAGGTACTGACTGACCAAGCACATCAATATCCATCGCGACCAACGTATATGTGTCCCCGGGGACAGCCGTCACCATTTATGTGAATTAGGAGGCCTCTACGCTATGGTGACTTAATAGTCAAGATGCATCGTGGTAAAAGGTATGAAGGAACAGATGAAACGAACGAGTCTCACTGTTTACCATTTTGCCAGCTTCCTGCTGGTCGGTTTCACGCCCGCTACAAGACACATGCCTTATTGAGTAAGTCAACAGTGCACGTATGAGCATGACTAGCTTGTGTTCTCCAACCAGTCCTGACCTCGCGGAAGAAACCACGACCAAGGTTTGTCACACAGGTAGAAGAATTTCTGGAACGAGATGTGTGAATACACAAAATGGGACAATCTCTACGACGGAAGACTTTAGATGTGGACACACCAGAAGTAAATCGATGGAATGTGGAAGTATTGCTGCTGAGAAGGCGGTAGTATACTGGAAATCCAGAAGTAGAGCGGTGTCCTCTGAGCGAAGCTGCATCCTTCTGGAGGTCAGCACGTAATCTCGATAAGCTAGGCTCAAGGACCATAAAGTGAGGGGTTGCGCGAGTCGAGGATGAGCGCAGGAAGTCGATCCCAGAATCGCGTAGAGACTGCAAACCTCTTCGTCAGGGAACACTGCAACGCAGCACACGGATGACAGGGCTGGCAGTGGAAAGGGTCGCACAGCCTTGTCGCCTATGTATGTACCAAGGGTTGTTCCGAGCCCCGGTCGAAGGCCAGACCTTTGATCCAAGGTTGCACTGCTAACAACGCCACCGATATATGTATGACTCGTCTATCACATCTGTCTGCTGTACCTGAAAGTCGCTGCGAAAGTGAAAAGGTATATACATACTAGCTAATCACGTTCGAGAGAGGAGTGGCGACCGTGCATTGTCAAGAAAACACAGGCCCGAAATTTCTTCGACCACAATGACACCTCGAATTTCACCAACAATAATCCACCTCGACGACGGGCGCGTTGAGATCTCGACTTCGCGCATTTTCCTATGTGGCGCCAGAGATGAAGACGTAAGGGGCCTCCATGAAGCATTCTCCGATCCAGAGGTTATGAGATACTGGTATGATTGCTATTCCCTCTTCCCCCTCCCGCCATGCCCTACTTGTCCCTTTCAACCAAGGAGTAATCACCACCAACCCACTTCTCACCAAAACCGAAGGAGCACACTACCACATAACACCCTCTCCGAGACGTCAACGTGGATTCAAAAAATGACGACCTCGGATCAAAATGGTGTCACGGACTTCATCATCGTGCATAAGGCCACGGCATCTCCGATCGGCAAAATCGGTGTTTGGCAAGACCAAGAAATCGGATTTCTTCTCTCCCGCTCGCATTGGGGTCAAGGTCTTGCTAAAGAGGCGTTGCACTGTGTATTGCCCTATCTCTTCCGAGAAAAGGGTATGGAAGAGGTTACCGCGGATGTCGACCCCCGCAATCACAGGAGTATCAGACTTTTGGAGGGCGTGGGGTTTGTGAGAACGGGATTCAAAGAACGGACGTGGGAGCTTGGCAGCAAGTGGGTGGACAGTTTGTATTTGGGCTTGAGGAGGGAGAGGTGGGAAGGACGGGAGGATCGTTAGCGGTAAGGGCAGTAATATTTGCGCGAAGACTCCAGCGGCTAGCGGAGGAAAGCGTTGCAAAGAAGGCGAGGACGCATGCCCGTTTCAGAGGATGCCATACCGAGAAAATACGTTCGACGGAAAGTGGTCGCGTATGAAGAGCGTCGGCGATACAGGTCGTCCTTGAAGAGTTGACTGAAGCTTGATGTCGTTCGAAATGCCTCCTATTGGTAAGGATAAGGTATGTACCTCGTTTGCTGCTAAGAACAGGCAGTTGAAGCCCAGATGCCAGAATATCTCCACGGCAGGCAGATACTGCCGTGCAGATTGAGATGGAGGAAAGGCGGGAATGTTGAAGCGGGTTATGTATCGAGACGGTGAAAGATCCTAGGCAAGCAGCACTCAGAGTGACTCAGGATTTATTGAAAGGGCCAAGTTTCAGATATCATCTTGTCCATTGGACTCGGCTTGTAGACCAGGTAGAGTACCAATCGACCACATGATGCTCATGAGTAAAGTGCCTTGCTCAAGCAAAACCCCCTGGCGGGTGCAGCATCAGTCACCGCTCCGTGAAAATATTCTCCACTTCCTTTGTTCCTCTTCAAGAGTCTTCCGCTCGTCTAGTTTCAGGGTCAGGTTGCCTCGAAGTGTTGCCGGAGCCCATCAGTACCCTGGGGTCTTCAGTCTTGGGCCAGTCCAGAACGCTATCATTGAAGGAGTCGGTCCCAAAGATTGCCAAAAATGGTCCATACTGTCCACTTCCCCCGTGAAGCATGCAATGTCTTCCATACGTAGACCCGCCAGGGTAGCTAAACAAAGTGCCTGGTCAGTGGCGTAGCTCGTGGGGCGATGGCGAACCAAGGCATGAAGAAGCTGGATGAGACCCGCAGCTGGGATATGAATGCCATCGTAATTCGCATGGCGGCAGTTGACCAGAGCCGCCAACAGAGAGCCCCCGAATTCCTCAGCTTATTTGTCCTGCCGCAGGGTAGTTTCAATCTGTCCAATGTCAACGATGCGATCAGCAAATTGAGTATCCAAAAACGTGCGAGGGCACCTTCCTACAAAGTTCATAGTCGGTTAGGCCATGTCGAACAAGTGATATACAGGACAATCTCTGGCACGAGAAGGTGAGAAGAATCGACCTACTCCAAGTACGCGTCGACGACCAAGACTTTGTCAGCTTGTCGATAGGTTCTCTTTAGATTTAGAATCGTTCGAGCTCGAGCCTCTGGTGGATGTGTGGGCACACAGAGGGTGTCAGTCCAGTAAGGCGCACGCCCCCTACCGTTCCGGATAGAGGTTCGCAACCATGCTCCCGAGCCAGGCTAGTTGACGACGCGGAAGGGAGTTTCTTTCGGGTCTCCTAGTCCATGGGACCATACGTGCGAGACGGCAACATATGGTACCGCGCGTTGACTATCAAGCAGTTCGATTGTACTGCACTGGGAGTAGTCGCAGTTCGAAACATGGGGCAAATGACCGGCATGGAGGATAGCGAGGAGGTCGGCCTGCTGGGTGGTGGCATTGTCATGAGAGCTGTCCTGATATAGATGCTTGGTTCTGTATGACTCCCGGTCCACTTTGTTGACCACACAATCGACTTCACAAGCTCTCGAGTGGTGGAACTAGGGATTGGGACGTCTGATACGGGAAATCATGTAAAGGCATTTCCACAGGCAACGACTCCGTCAGCTACGCCACTTGTTCATATACCCTTCTTGTTTAGCAACATTTCATGAGAGAGACTCAATTCTGGGGCTTACCAGGTATATAGCCCAAAGAAACTTTGAGAAAGAGAGAACGGAATAAGAAAATGTCAGAGAAGTGAGCGAACAGCAGAGGCAGGTTTGCCGATAATGGGCAGCCAATCACATCGGCGGATTATGAAAGCAGTTTGACAGCATCACCACCATCACTTCAACGTGTAATTAATTTCAGATCCAAACCCGTGCATATTCACACACTGGTCGAGCCGCGTGATTCTTTCTCATAAATACGGGGAGCATCAGGGCTTCTGTCTGGCAAAGCGTGATCTGTGTTGATCCGTCTGGCCATGATTCGTTTCAGAGTCAGACGAGGTGTCACGAGAGGGCTCATTCAAACCCTGGAAGCTCGAAGAACGTCTCGATCGTCACCTCCCCTGTCGAGGACAGCCGTAACCTCAACGTTCAAGCGCCCTCAAGGCCATTTTCAATTCACTTTCAGCCGCTTCAGGAGCTCCGACGCTGTGTTCAAACGCCACGCCTCCACCTCTGGGGACGCCCCTCCAAAACCGTCACGGCTGATCGATTTCCTTGTGGGTGCTACCCTTGTGCTGGGCGCTGGTATCTTCTACTTCTACATCACAGACACGCGTGCAAGCGCACATCGCTACATCGTGATCCCGACTCTAAGGTTATTTTACCCTGATCCAGAAGATGCTCATCAGGCCGGCAATCACATTCTCAAAGCACTCTGGGAGTTTGGACTCCACCCCCGCGAACGCGGCGATTCTGATGCGAACAAGGACCTTGAAGTGGAGGTCTTTGGACAGCTTCTCCGAAACCCTATTGCTACTTCCGCCGGCATAGACAAACAAGCCGAGATACCAGATGCTCTCTTTGAAATTGGCCCTGCCATTATCGAAATTGGTGGTACCACTCCCATGCCACAAGACGGAAACGAAAAGCCTCGGGTGTTTCGGTTGACCTCACAACAAGCGATGATCAACCGATATGGTTTGAACTCTGAGGGTGCCGACTACGTCGCTATGAAACTTCGCAATAGGGTCAGGAAATTTGCGCACTCACTGGGACTCGGTCGAGACGAGATTGCAGAGAAGGCAGTGCTGGACGGCATTGCCGGTGTGCCTCCGGGGAGCCTGACTTCGGGGAAATTGCTTGCTGTTAATATTGCCAAAAACAAGTTCACACCAGAAAACGACGTGGAGGCTGTGACGAAGGATTACGTCTACTGTGTTGAGACCCTCGGCCCTTATGCCGACATTCTCGTCGTCAATGTCTCCAGCCCGAACACCCCTGGTCTTCGGTCTTTGCAAGAAGGAGACAAACTAAAGAGGATATTGGGCGGCGTGGTTGAAGCGGCCCATAAAGTAGAAAGGCGGACACGGCCTTTTGTCATGGTAAAGGTCAGTCCGGACGAAGACTCAGATGAACAGATTGCTGGGATATGTGACGCTGTTTGGGCTAGCGGAGTGGATGGAGTGGTAGTTGGAAATACCACTAACCGTCGCCCCCAGGCGTTATCCCAATTCAAAAGCTATTCACCGGTGGAGCAGCAAAATATGCTTGAGAGGGGCGGGTTTTCCGGACCTCACCTCTTCGAACGTGTCACTGCTTTGGTGAAGAAATATAGGAAACAATTGGCAGAGAGACCCCCGTCCACTCGAAAACCAGATTCACTACCTGCTGGGAAGGGGGCGTTAGAAGCTGAAGCGGACGCTATCAGAGTCAGCCTCGCAGCTAGAACCACTGACACGGGGGCCGACATCCTGCCAGAGACAGACTCCGACAAGGTCACTGCGTCTGTCGACAGCGGTGTCGTTCCAGTTAATGGCATGATCCAGGAAGGTGGTTCAGCCCAGCAACCGCTAATCAACCTTCCGACTGATCGCCGTTTCGACAAGTCGCCAGCAGAAGAGGACAATCCGCAGGTCGAGGAGGTCCCTCCTCCCGACCCGGGTGTGCGTGATGCAGTAGAGAGACGGCAGCTCAGGTCCATTCAGGAGGCTATTGAGAGGCTTCCTCCCAAGGCGCAGCGTGATGCTCTGGAGCGGCTTGAATCTCCTCCACCACATCTGGGTCTGCTAGATCAGCCCAAGGTCATATTTGCAACTGGGGGTATCACCAACGGCAAACAAGCACTTGAAGTGCTCAACGCAGGTGCGAATGTGGCAATGGTCTATACTGCCTTGGTATATGGAGGCATCGGCACCATCTCGCGAATCAAAGACGAGATGCGTGAGGAAATGGTAAGACAGGCCCAGCAAAAGCGTGCAATGAGTTCAAAATGAAGTCGAATGTCGAATCATACCTGAAATCAGCATTTCGGCCGCTGCAATTCTAGCGTGATCTCGGTGACAGTCGCGCCGTTATGCTCGATAGTTTCCTTCGAGACCAGGCGGAAGCCTGCATTGGCCAGAATTCGGGCACTTGCGACATTCTTCTCGTCAATGACCGCTGTCAGCACCTCGGGGACAGAGACAACATCGTCATCGGTACTGAAGCCCGGGTCTGCATCCTCAATCGCCACGATCCTTGTCGGCAGCTCCCACCACGCCTGAAGCCAGCGCTTGAATGCCTCAGTAGCATATCCCTTTCCCCAGTATTCAGTTCGGAACATATAACCACATTCAGGGGGCTCGGAGATGTGGCAGCCCAAGACACCAATGACTGTTCCGGGGTTCGACAGCTCCTCGATCGCAAAATTGAAAGTGGTGGCGTCATTCGGCGGCAGGGATCTGTTCATCCAGATCTGGGTTGCCTCCTTGTCGACATCAACCTTCCCGGTAGATGTCCACTTCATGACTTCAATCTGAGTACGCAGGATGTGGAAGTCTTCAAGGTCTGACTGTCGTATGGGCCTCATGAGGAGACGAGCCGTGGTCATGGGCAAGGCAGGCGTCGGAAAAATGGGTCGTGAGATTTTCTTCATGGTGGGCTAAAGCACAGGGTCAAGGAAAAGGGTTGGGTATTCACTCATGGCTGGGTACTGAGGGATGGGTAGACTATGCTTTATGTATCATCTCGTGAAATCGCCAAGTGCAATGGGTTTGAGCATTACCCAGTTCAGGTACCGGCTTTCTCAAGAGGCTGTCTGGTGACTCGACTATTTGATTAGTCGCAATTGAAGCCAGCGAGGCGAGAGCCTCCAATGGTAACATTGTTGGCGTATACTAGTCTCCACTCGGGCTGCAGAATCTTCCAACCAATGATTAGGCGGGGAGCGCGCTATCCTCTTGGCACTCGGCAAACCTGCCTTTGGTAACGCAGTCTTGACAATTTTTTGTCCGCCGCAACTGGCGACCGCCACGATTATTCCCCTCCATCGCCATTTCTGGCGCACACCGACAAGATGAAGACCACCTGGAAAGATATCGCACCGGTGCCGACGTCTCAAGAGTTCATTGACATTGTGCTCAGTCGGACACAGCGGCGGCTCCCGACCCAGATCCGTGCAGGCTTCAAAATCAGCAGAATAAGAGGTGAGATTTTGCCGCCTGGTATCGAGGCCTTGTGGTTGACTAGGTCGTCCAGGTTTCTACACTCGAAAAGTCAAGTTCACCTCGGAGACATTCTGCGAAAAGTTACAGGCAATCCTCGACGGGTTTCCTCGGCTACAAGACATCCATCCCTTCCACAAAGATCTGCTCAATACCCTCTACGATGCCGACCACTTCAAGATTGCTCTGGGCACTTTATCGACCGCCAAACGACTCATCGAGACGGTGGCGAGAGACTATGTCCGACTGTTGAAGTATGCACAGTCCCTTTTCCAATGCAAATCTCTCAAGCGGGCAGCGTTGGGTCGGATGGCCACAATCTGCAAGAGACTGAAAGACCCGCTGGTATACCTTGAGCAAGTGCGACAACATCTTGGGCGTCTGCCCAGCATAGATCCCAACACCCGCACACTCTTGATTTGCGGATATCCCAATGTGGGAAAGTCGAGCTTTCTAAAGTCGATAACCCGAGCCGATGTCGACGTTCAACCCTATGCTTTCACCACGAAATCCCTCTTTGTGGGTCACTTCGATTACAAATACTTGCGATTTCAAGCCATCGATACGCCTGGAATCCTGGATCATCCGCTAGAGGAGATGAACACTATTGAAATGCAGTCAATCACGGCCATCGCACATCTGAGATCAGCCATCCTGTATTTCATGGACTTGTCAGAACAATGTGGCTACACGGTCCAAGCACAGATGGCTCTTTTCACCTCTATCAAGCCTCTCTTCGCCAACAAACTCGTGTTTATCGTGGTGAACAAGACCGATGTGATGAAGCCCGAGGACCTGGACCCTGAAACTCAGCAACAGTTGAAGGACCTGTTGACCCAAAATTCAAACACAGAACTTCTGCAGTTGTCCTGTGTGACCAGTGAAGGGGTTCAGGAGGTCAAGAATGCGGTGTGTGACCGGCTGATCGCGGATCGGGTAGCGGCGAAATTAAAGGCCGGACAAGCGTCGCAATCAGCAACCTCAGATGTACCAACGGGGCGCCTTGGTGATCTTCTCGCTCGGATACATGTAGCACGGCCACTGGAAGGCTCCATCAGCGAAACTTACATTCCCGAAGCGGTTTTGAATGGTACGCACAAGAAATACGACAAGGAAGACCCGGACCGAAGAAAGCTCGCACGCGACGTCGAAGAGCAAAATGGAGGTGCTGGTGTCTACAACGTCAATCTGCGGGAATCCTACGACCTTGCAGACCCGGAATGGAACAACGATCGGATTCCCGAGTTCTTCCAAGGCAAGAATATCGCCGACTATGTCGATCCAGACATCGAACAGAAACTGGCCGAGCTTGAAGCAGAGGAGGAAAGACTTACGGCGGAAGGATACTACGACGAAAGTGAAGACATGGAAGACGAAGACGATGCAGAGATCCGCATGAAGGCCAACCTGATCCGCAACAAGAAAACGCTCATGATGAACGAGGCGCGCATGAAGAAGAGCCTGAAGAACAAAGCCCAAATACCGCGGGCAAAGAAAACCCGCACGCTCGGGCAGATGGAGAAGCATTTCAACTCCATCGGGCTGGATGTGTCGGCGCCCACTGACCGAGCAAGAGCACAAATTCGCAACGCCAAGCCGGCTTCCGAAGCTGGTGGTGAAGCGATGGATCTCGACGGCCCTTCCGCAAGACTTGCGAAGTCTCTCTCCAGAACACCCAAGACCAACAGACTCACTGATGGATTAGGCGTGAGCGCCACGGGCATCACCGATCCAGTCAGGCGAGACAAGGCGCAACGTATGGCGAAGCTGAGCCAACGACAGATGAATCGTATGGCCAGACAGGGCGAGGCAGACAGGCATGAAACGGCGTCTCTGCCGGCGCACTTGCTCAAGGGTAAGAGAAAGATGGGCAGTACCAGATCGAGATAATCTGGCCAGGTCTTCCCAAGGTTGACGATATCACGTTCATGCATTCTCTAGGAGTTAATGTGTACTCCGGCTCAGACTTGCGGGTTAGATGGTTGACTATGGCATAAGCCAGCATCACAGTCCTGAGGTTCAGGTAGGAAAAGTTTTATGATACCAGAGGTGGTTCATCGACTGGAACGCCCTGCAATTCCCACAATTGCAAAGACAATGTATTCATCCTTCTGATCTTCCCGAGGTCGTTGTTAGTCCTTGGGCGGGATGTCCATAGACACAGCGTGCCAAATTCCGCCTCCCAGCCTTGCTTCACAATCACGTTAGAGCCGTGAATACTAATCATGGTTCAAGCGCATGGGGGAGATACGGCAGTAGATACTAAGTATGGTGGCCAGACGCCGCCAACTGCATGATCTGGATTCAGCCAATCGCTCAGCTTTTTCAGCGAGGACAACTCGACATGCATCGTCGTATCATCTACACTCCTTCTTGGAAAGCGACAAGGGAACTTAGAATTCAGCTGTACGCCTTTATGCCTGTTTGTCAGCATTGACATGGGGACTGAAGCCGAGTGGTTGTCGTCTGAATCGGACTTGGCCCCCAGGTGCTATCCCCTCCCTCGCATTCACACAGTACTTTCCTCGATCCCCTCTTGCGCAATACTTTCACCTGGTACGTAGTTGTACTGCTGTCGGTGTTTGCACTGGGCCGTCTTATCGCCGAGCACGGCCCCTGGTGCCCCCTGCTACCCAAAATGGCAGTCAACACTTCGATGATCTGTAACCACTTATCCTCATTCGACGACGGCGAGGAAGACGACTATGCCAATTAATAAGCTCCCATAACCAGAGCCGCGAGGGCCATGAGCCAGCCGGTGCCTCGTCCTAAGGTCTTATGTCTGCTGAAGAATCCCGAACAAGATTCGATGGCGCGATGGCACTTGAGATGGTACTTAACAGACCGCTCCTCCCGTTGGTGTGAGTAGCTGAAGCGAACATTTCGACTCGGTGCCAACTGGAGTGTTGCAAGCTTGACCACTTATCATATACGCCTCACATCTGGCATTCTCTTCCTGCAATATTCAGCGCCCTCTCACTCGCCAAGTCGATACGATGGTCCCTCGGACTCAAAAGGCTTTGCTGGTCACCGAACTGGGCAAGCCCCTCACCCTTACAACTGAACGAGCAGTCCCGCAACCCGGCGCAGGACAAGTCCTTGTCCGTGTTACCGTTGCTGGTGCCAACCCTCACGACCAGAAGTCTCGTGAGACAGGCCTGTTTATCGCCGACAGCCTCCCCGCCCCCATCACCAACGACGTTGTCGGTGAGGTAGTGGCCCTGGGTACTGGCGTGACCAAGTTCGCAGCGGGCGACCACATCGTCGGCCACGCCGCATTCGACAAGACCCACGTCCAGAAGGGACTTCAGGAGTATGCCGTCCTTGACGCCGACTTCTCTGCTAAGATCCCAGAAGGTTTCACCGACGATGATGGTGCTACACTTCCTACCAACGTCATTGCGGCCCTAGTTGCGCTTTTCGACCCGAAGACGCTTGGGATCCCTGCTCCGTGGACCGAAGCCGCCAAGAGCTTCGATTTCAAGGGCACAACACTGCTGGTCGTGGGCGGAGGTAGCAACTGCGGTAGATTCGGTGTTCAGCTGGCTGCACTCGCCGGCGTCGGCCGCATCGTCGTCGTAGGGGGGGACGAGGCTGAGTTGAAGTCATATGGAGCCACAGATGTGATAGACCGCCACGGCTCACCAGACGAAGTCACCAAGCGCATCCGGGATGTTGTTGGGGACGACCTCATCTACGCGTACGATGCTATCAACCCACCAGCTACCCAGACCATTGCCATCAACGCACTGTCATCCACAAAGAAAGGCAAGTTTGCGCGCTTGTTGCCTACTGGACCGGTCGACGAGTCACAAGTTCATGCCAAAAAGGAAGGCTACGAACTCAAGAACGTTTTCGGCAGTTCACACGTACGGCCAGAACTGTGTAAGCCGTTCTGGGACCATGTACCGCAGTACCTGAAGGAAGGAAAACTGAAGCCGACCAAATATGAGGTGGTCGGCCTGAAAGGATGGGAGGCTCAAAAGGTCAACGAGCTCCTGGATCGCTACCGCGACGGGAAGAAGGTCGTGAAGACTCACTTCCATCTCTTGGAGTAGGTCGTCACGGCGATGGGCTTGACAAAAGATGCAATTCTTGATCGATGAAGCGATCAAGTGAATGTCGACGTGTCACTGGTATAGCTTGCACAGATTGTTCCCTTTCACGGGTCCGGTCTTCACAGGCCGCTGTCATATTCACTGCCTTTTCACTGCCTCTTCACACTCACTGCCTCTTCATATTCACTGCCCTAGCTCTTCCACTGCCTTTGATCGCGTGAGTTTTCATGTGTCGCGTTACCTCTCGCACTTGTCTCCCTTCATAACACAAACCATCTACCTGCCTACCGCGCACTCTTCATTGATCAATACACACCTCGTCCTCATTTACGCAGAGCGACGACCATGCCGGCAGGTGATACAATGGATTCTCCACCGCCAATAATGCCTCGCGTCCGGGCCTACCTCAGATCGACACACTATCCACCAGAAGACTTCAATTTGGAGGCCGAAACTGAGGCTTTCCAGGCGACAGTCACGGCGATGGCGGCCACAATGCCCAAACTGGTGGAAACACTCGACAATCTCCAAGGAGAACTCACAAAGGAAGTTTGTAACAGCTTCAAGTTGTCCGAGCCTCACGTCTTCTTCAAAAACAAGTACCACACCTTCCTGGAAGACATGATGCTCGACATCTTCCACGACAAGCCTCCTCAACTGTCTGCATTCAACTTGTTCCTTTGGACACTGCAGTACGAAGCAAAACAAACCGCAGGCCTTCTTTCAGGGAGCGATGACCATGGCCCACTGCCGCCTAGCTGGAGAAGTTGGGTCGTGGTGATGCTTTCCAACACCCTTGTCTTTCAACATCATAAGCTCACCACGGAAAAAGAGAATGTCAAGCAATGGATCGTGGATATCTTCACCTCCGTCGACGATGCCCGTATAGCGAATGAAGTCCCAGGGACGCTCTTGCATCAGACATGGAAGAATGTGTATGACCGGGTGCAAGATTTCAACCGCATCCTCACGTTCATGTCGATTGGACACTCCAACTTGATGGCTGAGATCGACCGGCAGGAGGGTGGAGAGCTCGAGAAAACTGGACCACGGAAACCTATCCACGCGGTGTTGGGTGAAGAGATCACAAAGGCAGATCCTAAGATCATGATCCCCGATCTTGCTATTCCCGAGGATCTCGGAGCACCGCCTGTCGACAATGAGAACGAGGAGTCAGGCTTGCGTGGTGGTTCATAAGGGTTGTTCAACGAGTTGTGATGAACTTGGTCAGATGGTGTCCACCATGCTCGAGCATGCATGTCCTGTTGTGAGATGCCTCTGGCACTTTGCTTCCGACTCCAGTCACAAGCACTGCGGGTCGATGGAAATGGAACGCGGATACGGCTCAGGGGAACTGCAATTACGGCACGGAGCAACATGAACAGAGCACCAGCGCTGCAGAACACCTTGAGGGGCGCGAACAAAGCGCACTATGCACTGCAAATTGCGAACCGCCGCGACCTGGCATTGTGCCTTCGCATCAAATGTGTTTGCATAGACTGCATATTCCCATTTGACCGCCTCAACACGTCCATGATGTATACCCTTGGTCTTTCCTGGTTTTCCTTTCTCTCGTTTGCTGTTAGTATTCCCCTTGCTGTCCCAGCAGCAAACTAGCCGTACTTCTGTGCGTAAGATTTCTACTCCCATTTCCTCAGCGAGCAGGGTAGGAGCAATAATCATCAGGAACTCGTGGTCATTGGCAAGCGCGCTTCTGATCAGTTCATCCACCATTTCATTCTCGCGCCACCCACTTGGAAGACATTAGCGAGATCCAATTACCTGCTCATCTGTCTCAGAAACTCAACCCTCCACGGGTACAGCACTCCCTCATAAGCGGATCTACACACTGCGACAGCCCAGTCAGTTAACCGTCAATAACCCCAACATCTCTCTCAAACTAAGCTACGTCGCAGGATAAATCACCAGCCGGACAGTCTTCGTGGCCATGTCAAGGAGACCCTCCATCACTCCCAATCGTCCACGATGCAACCACGACCACGACATGATGAGTCTAGTACCCATGGACGTGCGCAAAGTTAGACGGGCAGTGGCAAAAGTGGTCCACAAGATCGAGGCCTTTAGAGACGATCTTCGAGAGCATGAGCATGGTCGCCTCTCACCGAAGCCTGCGCACCCAAGAAAGAAGCCTAGAATAGAGCATCCAGAGATCGACATCTCGATGCGAATCGGGTCCACACTTTATGAGATCAAGTATGTGGATATCTTGGCCGGAGAGCACGGGTTGGTGGAGTTGACTCAGGCGCATGCGGATGAATACGAACGGAAATGGGGAATGCATGGAGTGTTCTGGGACTTGCTTGCAGTCTACCAAGGCAACCCGGAGCTACGACAAAAAGTACTTCGAGATCGTGATACGCACGGCGATATATTCGAGCGTCTCGAAAAATTCTACGAAATCGAAGAGTCGCTGTATTCGAGGGACGACCACGGCAACGAGGAGGAGGACGACGACGACGAGGACGATGACGAGGACGAGGACGAGGACGACGAGGAGGACTAGAAGAGTTGGAGGCTGCTGAAAAGGTGTCATGGCGTGCCGGTCAGAGCGGATGATGCGAAGAAATAGACTCTATGTAAACGTTTCATGCGAGTAGGAGGGCGATGGTGAGTGCTTTGAAACGGATCCCACCAGCAACAAGAGGGCGCCAGTTCGAAGTACCACGGTATGTTCACTTCTAGACGTGGGTTAGTGCTCATGTACCCTGTTGACAACAGATAGGAGTGCCTCGTCGAATATATAGATATACATCAGTATCAAACCGACAGGACCTCTCGGGCGCATCAGCACTTCAAGCTTCATGGGAAAATGGCACAAGACGTGCCAATATACGAAGAAATGGTGGAAAGTGCTGGTTACGGCGTCAGTGGAGTTGGCTGGCTGCCAGACACTCTCCGCCTCCCTCTGAGAGGCTGGATGATGCGATGCGGGTTTGTGGACTGTTCTTCATGGCTGCTCGGGGCTTGCTTTTTGTAGCGGACGTCATGAGACGGGCGGAGGTTGCGGTTGAGACTTTCTGTCGGTCATTGGTGGCGGAGAGAAGGTGATGAAAAGGGAGACAGCGACGGTATTCACGAGTCTACAGACACCGAAGAGGACAAAGACAACGAGTAGTCCTCAGTGAGACGACAGCGACAGCATTGCGTGACTGGCGGGAGAGAGAAGAGACTAGCAGCTAATTAGCCTCTCTTTATTAGGGGTGCGCGGCTAATATATGGCATGCTACTGTGTTTTACCGTCCATCAACAATAATACCAGCCGCGTCTCGAGGAGCGGGCCGTCGTTGCACCTTTTCAAGCTCTTTATTTCCTCGGTGTCTCTATGACAAACCATCAAGGTATCTGGGTGCCTATGTTCCCCTGCCAAGACTCAGCCTTCCTCCGACCACCCCAGCTGAGGTACCTACACAACAGGGATTGACGACAGATGCAACCATAAGGTGTAGTAACAGGTCTAGTAACCGTGCAGATGTACTGGACAATATCTTTGGCAAGGCTGTCTAAACGTGTCGTTAAAGAGACATATCAACGTCCAAGGGAAGCTTCCGGAGTACATCCTCGCCATCCGACCTCACAGCGACCCTGGGTAGTGAAGACGACGCGGTCGCCAAATACTCGGACTGCTCATCGCCACGGCGTCGGCCACGGCGCCGAGACAACGCCCCGTATATCGTGCTATCTCTATAAATGTAGCTGTCTCTTCCCCTTCCCGCACCACCAACGTCCCTTGGCCTCTGAAAGAACCGCGACCCAGACTATCCAGGCTCCTCCAACGCCGCTTTCAACGCAATCAGGTATGTCGCGCACCCGGCTCAAGATACCACCTCCCAGTCTATAACCGCGACACCCTGTTCTCGATCGCTCTCGAGGCTGACGCGGAGACGAACCAGTCCACCGCCATGCAAGATACCAAAGGGGAACTCTCAGATTATCTCCAACGAACGGCAAAAACGCACCAAGAGGACGTAGCTGGCAAGGCTATTGACGAAACAGAAGGTCGCCATGAACAACGTCTCCCGGGACTGAGCGAGCTGACCGAGTCTGTCGACATCCTGCTCCCCCTGACTGGAGAAGCTTTGATCTTGAGGAGAAAGCTTCGGGCTCTTACCAGAAAATTCGCACAACGATGAGGCTGGCTCGACCCCTCGTCTACGCTCCATTCATAAACGAGGCCGTCCGTATGAGCATGCTCTATGAGACATTCCGAACCCTCATGCCCGACAGCGAAGCTCTGATCCACATCTTGATAGAGTACCGCCAGATCAACTTCCTTCACATGTGTCTTCCAGAGCTGCTTCCTTCAGCGGAATCGACTTGATGCGACAATTGCGGCCCCAGCGTCAGACATGAACCTGCACCTCGTCTTTAACTCTGTAAGTGAACTACATGGTCGATCTTGCTTCCCATCCACGTGCCTGCATATCTCACAGCCAAAGGGGCATATCTCTCGCTTCTTGTCGCAAGCGTTCCCCTCACTTATCCTTGCCTACACCGAGACTCATCACTCCTACTGCTATTGCCTCTAGCTTCACATCTTAGACTTTGAGTCCCTTTGCATCACATCGACTTAGTGCCTGAGTGCGTGGGACACCATTAGAACGGACACAGGAAGAGTCGAAGCTGGCTTCGGGACCATCAAGGTCAAGCATCCTGAAAGCACCAGAGCATGAACAACCAGAGCTTCGGCGTCCGCGGCTCCGCGAGACGAAGCAAGAATGGGCATAGAGCCAATGAACAAAGCGTCCGACTTCATTTGAAGAAAGTCCTACCAGTGGGGCGACCTCAACGAAAGTCGTCAAATGCTTGTCATTGATGCAGGAACGTCTCGGTATTGATACCACGGACTTCATGAGATTGCTCCCTGCGGCTGAGAGAGAACACGTGGAGAAAGTACACAAGGTTCAGAAGGTGTACTATGGTGCCACTCCAGGGCTCCTTAAATTGGCTGGCGAGGTACTTTCGGTTGTGGATGAAATCGAGCGCATCGACCGTGCCATTCACAAGGCGTATTTCATTTGTAAAGCCATCATGGAGGAGACAGAAAACAGAGTTGTCGGACGACTTTTCCTGGATGAGGCTTTCAACGGTTCGAACGAAGATCTTTCATCTGTGATCAACAGTATCTACGAGCTCCGCACGGATTCAAGGGATGCAGTCAACAGCATTGATGGAGTGAAGGATGATCTCGCGGAGATCTTGGAAGAGGAGGGTGGAGCGAAGAAGGACTTGCTGAATTTGCAAGAGTTCGTCTCGGTGTTCTTCAAAGCAAAAGAGATGTTGGTTTGCCGGATCGAGAAGTTCAACGCGGATAGGGAAGTACTTGTACGTGCCTTACCGTTTGATGTCTACGTGCGGGATCTGGATGCTCTCAGCTATACCGATGAGGAGCTTTATTAGAAGGCGGCAACCGTGGACGTGCGTGCTGACGCCGTGGACGGCGCAGAAGCAACTAGCTTGGAGTATGTCCCGAGCATCAGCAGTGAGGGGATGTTTGAAGACAAACAGGGCAATCGTTGAGAGTCCGCTGCCAATGACAGCAGCTATTAGAGGCACCGGCCTTGGCACGCAATCGAGGGCTTCGTGAGGACTCAACTGAACAACGCTTGGCTGGTCTTCTGTTAAGGATAGGGGCATTCTACCATGGAACAATGATTGTCAGCCTTGTTTAGCACACAAAAAGAAGCAAGTAACGTGTCTATGCAAATGACAAGCTGCATGGGTCAGTTTTGTCCGGAAAACAACGAGAGTAACAAGCAAAGTGCTCCCGCAAAGGCCAACATAGCATGATGGGTCAATATCAAGACCTTTCTTGTCTGTGCGGTCTGGCTCAATCACTTCATTGAAGGAAAAAGACCATCTGCCATGCTGGCACGTGGTCGGTGAGTCCTTTAGCGTGATCTGGTTATATATATCTGCAATGCTGTCACTGCAACCTCTCGTCCCGATGACTTCTGAAAGACCCATCCCGTCTCCCTCACGGTCTATCCTGTCTCGCCAACTCCTTGCTGGCCCACCATTGCCGACGCCAGACAACAAGAGAGGGCGTAATACTTACAAGACAGCCCGTCTATCACCGACAGTGCGCGCTCACAAGGTGGACGCCCACGCCCAGCTTCCTTGTTACTCTGCAGACTGGTCAAGGACACCCCCTTCCTCAGAGTCAGATGCAAAAGGCTAACTTACTCACAGTTACGATGCCCCTGCAGACCGTGCCAGAAGAAACGGTCATGGACCCGAATCCTACAGAAGAAGCCGGCACGGAAACCTCCCAAGCACATTTTGCCCCATGCCCCACCGAAAGAGAAATGAACGGCTTGCCTATCGACTCCATGGTCACCGGCCGGATGGGTCTGCCGTTGATGTGGATCTTGGATACAGTGATTGACGCCACCGAACACAGCACTTCGGAATACAGCAGAAAGAAGCGTGAAACCCGAACCATCATTAACCACGCCAGACGCGTGAGTACTCGCATCGGAGTGGATGAGCCTATTCGGATTGTTGCGCTGTGCACGATTGTCTTAGACCAAGCGAGAGAACTGCGATCCTGCCTTGAGCCTGGACAAGCCGCTATCGAACTCGCAGCTGAGCATATCAGAGCCTTTGAAAGAACGCGACGACAATCCGACACTGCAAGCTCCGCCAACAACAACGGAGTACCTGCAATTCTCGTCCAGTGGGCCGACATGAATTCATCCCGGCTGGTTGCGGGTCTCGCGAGCTTTGAAAGACAAAACAGAGATTTCTGCAGATTCGGCGACAACGTGGACCGTCTCATGGAATATGCGCTTTTGACTCTTGGAATCGATGCTGAACAAGCCGAGGAGAGTGCAGATACTGGTGGTGCTTGAGGTCAGGAGGGGCGATTGAACATGGGCAACTACTGTATTCCACATCAGCGGAGCTGAAATCAGAACGACGCGGCGCGAAAGCTATCAGGATAGTTCTTGGACACAGGATGGTGATAAGAACAGCAGTTGGTCTTGGTCTGAGAGGCTGGGACTTGAAGAACACGGTACGGTGAAGTCATTCATCTCTGAGCGAAAGAGTGATGGAACTCACTCATCCGACAATGAGAGAGTGATGAAGCTTCATTCATCTAATAGTGAGAGGGCGATGAAGCTTCATTCATTTACAGTGAGAGAGGCATCAAACTAGTGGCCGGCTAATTGCGGAGATTGCGGCTTCTGATTGGCTGGGAAGACGGGGTTCTTTGCGCGGCGGGGAAAGCGCCCATTCTTCCTGCCGATGGGGAACCTGAGCTTTCGTTGTTGGAAGCCCCAGTCAAAGTCAATTGATTCTCCCAATACTCCGTACACCTTGATCGAATCGGTCTTCATTTCTAATTGTACTTCAAGTCCCCTGTCTTCCCCGGCGCAGACCGTAGTCCTGCTGTTGCTTGATGCGTGCGCCGAAATGACCGACACCAAAGATCACGCTCAGCAACCCCCGCCCGAATCAAGTCCGCAGCTCAGTCACGTTGTGCGCCAACCATCATGGACGGGCTCTGTGGCCGAGAGCCCGACTAATCAATCACCTATGCACAGTCGCAAGAGGTCTGCCGATCACCTGCCGGCGGAGCCTCACGTGTCGCGCAAAGGACGGGCCTGTCTCGCCTGCCGCAAATTGAAGGTCAAGTGCGACAGTCTCGAGCGAGGCGACGCCGGCTGCTCCAGGTGTCAACGCCTCGGCTTGGACTGCATTACTTCCAAACGCATGAGAGTAAGTCTGGACGACGATGGCGAAAATCCACATCCGTCGATTGTCCGCCTGGACAGAGCCGTCGAGGACATCCTCTCGCGGCTGAAGATGCCTGCCTTGGAGTCCTACTCCCGGACGCATCCATCCCAACATTTACAGCCGCCTCCTCCAGCACTGGCGGTCCCCGTGCCCGCGGACTCGAATGCGCAAACAACGCGGGAAAACTCCCGGGAGCCGATGAACCAGGAAGACGCCCATGAAGTCGCGCCGGCACCGATGGGCAGCTTATTCGAAGTCACGCAGCTCAACACGTTACGGAGCCGTCTAAAGTACGGCGATCCGGCCCGGCGCAACTCAAAGAAGAACATGGAAAACGACCTGGTCTCCATGGGCATCATTTCCGTGGAAGAAGCGGAAGAGATGTTCGAGCTATTCAAAAGATCCCTCTCCCGCTATCTGTTCGACGCGACAGTGCACGAGTCCCGCAGTTTACTCTCCGTGCGCGAGTCATCAACGCTGTTCTTCACAGCCATCATCACTGTCACATCATTGCATATCCCCGGAAAGGAGAAAATCCACGCCACGGCACATAAACAACTACGCGACCTGATTGCCGCATCCTTCTTTGACCGATTCCATACCCTCGAAGACCTTCGCGCGCTATGCATCGCGGCATTTTGGCTCCCGGATTTGAGCTGGAAACTGTCCGGCCACTGTGTGCGCATTGCCACCGAGTTGAACCTGCACCAAGCATTCTTCAAGGCGCTGTACTCGCAGAAACAATCCCCCTCTGAGCGAGAACATGCATTTGAACGCGCACGATTGTGGTACCTGCTATATGTCCTCGACCACCACTTCAGCATCGCATATGGACGACCGCCCGTGACGGCAGAACTCCAAGCCATAAAAGAATATGATGTATTCCTCAACGCACCCGAATGCACGCCCTCAGACCGCCGGGTATTATCTCAAGTGACACTGTTCATCATTCTCAGTAAAGCGTACAACCACTTTGGACTGGAAGCCGAACGATTGATGGACGGAGACGACGTTACGCTGTTGACACATCAACGCTTCATCGAGGATTTGGATCGCTGGAGATATCAATTTCGCCACGCATTGAACAGGGATGCCCATGTGGGCGACTATCCTGCCGTTGGTAAGCTACAGCCCACCCCACCTCACCGTCCTTTTAGGCTCTTAATACTCCTATCTCGGTCCTTCTAACACGGGCGATGTATATAGGTGTGGAGCTACATTACTACTTCGCTTCGATGATGCTCAACTCTCTCGCTCTCCGGGGTCGATCCCTCTTCACAATCTCTAGCACCAGTACACTCCCGTCGGCTCTTCGGCCTCTGGCCAGCCACGCAATTTCCTCGGCGCATCAGATCCTGACCATCGTGTTGGAAGAGCCCTTCATCCGCGACAGTATGGTCGGGGTACCTCTCTACCTCCACACCGTGATCGCCTTTGCCGTCGTGTTTCTCATCAAGATGAGCAGTCGCTGGACAGGCATCGGCGTGACCATCGATGCGGAGACGAAGACGAAACCCCTGATCGAGGGCGTGATTGCACTGTTTCGCAGCTGCCGGGCGGGCAGGGGTCACATCTTGTATGCCATGGCAGATGGGTTCGAGCGGCTGTTGAAGCGCAACATGGGCAGACCAGGGGAGAACGGAGTGGGAGCTGGAGCTGGCGCCGGGTATGGCTCACTCGACGCCACGGCAGCGGGTCTGCGGCAGAATGGAGGGAGGGACACGCCCTATTCGGCACAGCGCCCGGGTCACGCTCAGACAGCAGGACGCGAGTACTCCCGACCACCGGAGATATATGCCAGTTCGAGTCAGACAAACACGCCGAATCTCCTGCATCCGCAGCAAACCACGGCGAGTCCCACGGCTTTTACGCCCACAGGCTCTGGCGCGCAGCAGCAACAACCTCCTAATGGCGCTGGGTTCGACCCTTACGCGTTGTCGCCTCATTCACAGCCAACTTCGGCGGGCACCTTCGGCGGCTGGCAGACGGAAGACGACATGCTTTGGAGTATGGGCATGGGGTATGACTTGTTGGCAACGGCGCCAGATGTCAACGCGCATGGGTTGGGCGCTTTTGTAGGGTGGCCGGGCGGGAGCATTGAAAGTGCAGGTGGCGGTTACTCTCAGTTATAAAGAGCGAATTTTAACGAGATGGATTTATGAAATTTCTCTTCATGCCAGGTGAATTAACGGAAGCAGGATCCGACAACTGGAGACAGACCAAGCCGAAGCGGAAGAGGTGGAGGTGAAATCGGCATAACAGTTTTGCAAGGCTCGATGCGTAAGCTGTTCATGAACACCGCTTGCTGTCTACACACACAAGGCAGCGTAATCATCCCTCCTACTAAAGAGCAGTGGCAGCGATGCTAATAATCTGGATGCAACGTCCTGTGCGAACATCATCTCTTCTCAACACCACTGTTCCCCTCCCGGCTACTTGACGTGGCCTGTTCTGTGCCTCGGACAGTCCAACAAGCTCATCCCGGGTTCGCACTATCTTCGTCTCTTTCTAAGCCTTGTATGGCGATCTGATGCGATCCTGCCTCCGCATTAAGCTGAGGCGGACCGGTCTGGAGGGAGCCTCAGATGCGTAGGCGACGGAACGGGGCTGTCCGGTTGCGAATGACGTCTGTCTTCGTGCCGCCGCATGTCAAGCATGCTGATCGATCAGTTCAGAGATGGCATCGTGGCTGAAATGCATGGGGTCTGAAGTAGAGTCAGGCCATGGCAAAGCTCGTCGGATATTTGCCCCCTACGCAGTAGCGCAGATGTAGAGCGCAAAGCCGAAACTGGCAAAGAGTATACGTCGTCATATTCGCGGATATCCTTGGTGTAGGCGCCTCTGAAGTCCCGGACGAGCATCTCTCAGACAGGACTCGGTGGTAGCCGTTTCTTTGAACATGGACAGCCGATAATAGTGGGGCATTCAAACCATTGGTTGCACAATCCCTCATACTGGCAGTTCTGCATTCCGTCGACCACTCGAGATCTTTTGAAGGGCCACTTGTATGTAAGGGCCAACGACGGGTATGTTGCCGGCGAAAGATGCAATCGTGGCGAAGAAATCCCCAAACAGGACGAAGATGCCGTAGAGTTCAACCAGGAAGCCCGTCAGAGGCCACCGTATCAGGATGAGGAGGATGCCAGCGATGAAGGCAGCCGTTCCCTTGAGTTTTTGGCGTCGCGCGAAGAAGACAAACGTCTTCTGTATTCCGATAATGAGGGTGAGGCCGATCAGGAACAGAATCTAAAAGCGTGTCAGGATGCGCTCGCAGGTTTCAGGGTTTCCGCTGGGGCCATACATTTCCCATTGCCAGCATGGAGCGATCAAAGAACATGAGAACTCCCCCGAACAAGAACAGCCCGCCGCCGGAGCAGAAGGCCACCCCGATCTTCTGCATATCTGTCAACCACATGCTGGGCATCTTGAGCGGTTTTGGCGTGGATGAGATGGAAGTGATGGGTGAATAAATGGGAGGACAAGGGTCAAGTCGTGTATAGTTGGAAGATGGAGCGCGTTGCGAGTGACGGCATGCGCTCTTTAGAATGCTGCCTCTGGACGCGTATTTGCCACGGTGGAAGCTGGCCCTTGGAAATTGTTGAACTGGCCTCAATTGGAACGAGGGGATGAATTCAAAGTGAGTTGCGATGCGCGTCGGGCGCCGCTTCGTGTTGCTGCCGATTCGCCGACGAGGGCCACGTTACGTTTCCCCAAATCCATACCGTACCTCTGACACAGGCATCGGCAATGGATGCACAGTGAATTCACATTCACCAGTTGCGTGCGCTTGAGACAACCCACAATGTTGTTCTCAGGAGACGTGAGTTTACGTTGACGTGAGCCTCGCTTGCAAATGCATTGAGATTCCTCTGTCGCTCAACTGCACCTCGCACAAATGAGACGAGCCAGTATGTCGTGGCTCTGGAAGGTGAGCACGAGGACAACAGTACCGATAGCATCCAACTGACAACCTCCTCCAGGGAGATGCAAACTCTCCAGCCTCGTTCGAGAAGGCGCTTTCGAAACTTGCATCCCAGATCTCCGCCGCCAACGTCGCGCTCGACACCAGTCGGAGTCGCGGCCGGCGAGTCAAAGCCCTCTGGACGCTCTACACCACGCTCACGTATCTCCTATACACCCTTATTGTGGTCCTTGTCCTGGGGCCCCAGAACTGGACCCTGTATCACTATGCCGGTCTCGGCGGCGCGCCGGTCCTCATCTATGGGGTCCGAAGGCTCATCACCGCGTTCTTCGACTGGAGGGCCGGCCGTCAACAAGCATATTTAGAACACCTACAGAAGCAAAGAGAGCAGAAGATTGCCGATCTCAAAAAGGCGACGAAGTACGATAGCACGGAGGAGCTGCTGCGGAAATATGGCGGCGCTCCACCCAGCAAGACACCATCGAGACAGCCACAACAGGGCACGAAGCGGAAGGTCAATACACCCTCTGACCCGCCGCCTCAGCAAAGGACTGGAATTGCCCCTCCTCCGACAGCCAATATTCCGGGCAGGAATGTTCCAACTCCACCTCCCCAGAAACCTAACGTAGAGACCACCCGACCTTCTTCGTCTCCAACCCATAGCAAATCTCCCGTTATGGTAGACGCGATGGCAACCAGTCCCACACATATCACTCCCGACTCGCCGGGATTTGCGCCAAATGCATTTTCCGACATCTTACCTCAGACAAGCACAACCTATCAACACACGCCTCATTGGTACGATCGGATCCTCGACGTACTGCTTGGTGAGGATGAGACCGCGGCCAAGAATAGGTTGGTCTTGCTATGTTCTAGATGTCGCTTGGTCAATGGCCAAGCGCCTCCTGGGATCAGGACGCCAGAAGAACTAGGCCGCTGGAGATGCAGTGGTTGCGGTGCCTGGAACGGGGTGGAGAACGAAGGGATGAAAGTGGTCAAGGAAATTACCGGAGCCTCGAAAGCGGACACAGGCGAAGGCTGGGAGAAAATCCCTAGGGCTTCTGAGATTCAGGAGGAGCCTACCGAAGAGGTGCATTCAGGCGTAGAAGGAACCACGGGACTCGAGGGAGTGGATGAGACGGGGATCAGCAAGCGAGTCACTCGCAGCACGGGTCAGAAAAGCTCTTTTGAGTCACTCGAATGAATCAGATTTGTGACAAAGACTTCATTGAGCACGACATCACCTGGCCATGCCATACTGTCAGCGGTAGCAGCAATAATTGCACACCGCGTCGTCGTCGCGTTTACTACAATCACGTGACGATGTTTGCCAAGATCCCCGAAGTTCGAGTTCTTCGACTTTCAACATTCAATATTTCTCTCTCAACAGCTACAATGACCTTGACCCATCCTTCGACTTTGCCAAAATGTCCTTCTTCACCGTACGCCCTGCGGGTACGGACAAGGATCCGTTTAGAGTCCGGATGACCGCAGTGTCCATGCTCAGCCTCAAGTTGAAGTCAGGCGATGTCTGTGAAATTAAGACTGGGGAAGAATCCAATGGTAAGCGTAAGTTGGCCATTGCCTGGGAGGGCCTAGGGCCTGGAATGAAAGACACCATTGTCCAAACGTCCAAACTTCTCCAGGAAGCTTACGGATTCAAGCTCGGCGACAAGATCACAGTATGTCGCTCGCCACGCCCCATCGACGAGGCAGGGGTGGTGACAGTGTGCAAACCGGACCCTCCGCTAAGTGACAAAGAAATGCGCTTCTGGAGCAAGAATATTGCCCCAAGCATTCCACCGGCAGGTGATTATCTTGTCACATCGCAGAGGATTCGGCCCAGCGACGGCGTCGAATTCGTGGTAAAAGACGTAGGGGTGCATGATGCCATGATCGCACGGGTAACGCCGACCACGACTTTTCGCGTCGTCACGGATCACGACCATGGGGACATCATCAATATCGAGCTCAAACCACAGCGCCTGGGTGGTATCGAGAAGCAGATTCAGGAGTTGCAGGCTATAATCAATAGGATTTTGCAGCCACTGGTGAGACGGGTTTGGTCCCTGTATGAGCCAGTGCAAGGTGTTCTGCTGTATGGCGCGAAAGGCACTGGTAAGACAGCCTTGATCGAAGCTCTTTCCGAATCCGGTTGGCCGTCCATTATATCTTGGAAACCGGGCATGCAGGTCGGTCCGTCGAACGATCCCTGTTTGGTGATTGTGCCTCCAGACTACCTGCTTGCCAGAGCGGGGCTTCCAGGCGCATCGACAGCGACCTACGAACTTGAGGCAATGTTTAAACGAATCATAGGGAGTCCCGTCCTCGTGATAGCGGAAACTCGCCATCCAAATGATATTGACGAACGGCTGCGAACGGAAGGCAAGTTCGCCGCTGAGATCGAGTTGCCCATCCCTACGGCTCCTCAGAGGAAGGACATCCTTTTTGCCCTGCGAGGTGCAGAGGCTTTTCCCACGGATGAACAATTACAGGAGCTGTCAGAAAGAACTCACGGCTACGTGGGCGTTGATCTCAGGCGCCTCCTACGTGTGACGCTGGAGCTAGTATCCGACAAACCGCCGCCGTATGGGGAGAATCGTGAAGTTTTGATGCCAGCCATTGAGTCCGCTGATCTAGACATCGCTCTGCGGCGCGTAAGGCCTTCTGCCTTGCAGGAAATCTTCCTCGAGACACCTAATGTTCGGTGGACCGACATCGGCGGCCAACACGAACTCAAACGCCAGCTGCAGAATGCCATTGAACGCCCGCTCAAGTTCGCCGACCGCATGAAGAAGCTCCGGTTGAAGCCAAAAAAAGGGATGCTCCTGTATGGTCCACCTGGCTGCTCAAAAACCTTACTGGTCCGAGCCCTAGCTACCGAGGCCGGGCTCAACTTCCTGGCAGTCAAAGGAGCCGAGTTGATCTCAATGTATGTCGGAGAGAGCGAAAGAGCCACCCGGGAGGTCTTCCGAAAGGCCAGAGCGGCGAGTCCCAGCATCATTTTCTTCGACGAAATCGACGCGATTGCCTCACGGGGAAGAAGCGGCAGCGATTTAAATGTTCTGACCACGTTATTGAATGAGATGGATGGCTTTGAGGAGCTGAGAAACGTGTTTGTGGTCGCAGCGACCAACAAGCCGCAACAGATCGACCCGGCCTTGATGCGCCCTGGACGATTCGACAATGTCGTCTATATAGGCCCGCCAGACCACGAGGCAAGAAAGGAAATCCTCAAGAAGCAGCTTGATCGAGGGCTCTACCAGAGCGAAACTGGTCTAGAATCGGACGTTGAAGAATTCGGCAAATGGACAGAGGGATTCTCGGGAGCCGAAGTCGTCGCTATCTGTCAAGCTGCCGGAGATGTTGCGTTCGATGAAGACCGGGAGACCATCTGCCTCGACGACATCCGGACAGCTGTCGCGAAAACACCAAAGAGCATCACTCATGAAATGTTGGAGGAGTTTGACGCATGGAACGCAGCACGAATGGCACGTTGAACTGGAAACCTCCGTCTTACGGAAGGGCAGTCCCAATGGATCGATGAGATGACCATCTCGCTCATCGATTTCAATACACTGTTATGCGTCGCTGTTCGGCCTTCCGCCAGTCTCACGGGCCAGGTCTCGTACAGTCTTCCACACGAAGTGCTGCTGCCCGGGATTGACTACCTCATTATCATTGCCCAGGCCGCCTTCATCCTTTGGCCTGTAATCAACCCTTCCGTCACCCATGACGAATCTCAAGCATACGATCGCACCCCGATCCCCGTATTTGCGACTTAGGGCCTTGTCTCGATAGGTGTCCAGCTCGACAGTCTTCAAGTCAATATCTCCGGACTCAGCGGCAGACATTTCTTGGGCTATTTGGCGGAAACTGGCGTGCGATCCAGCAATACGCAACTCTTCGGGCACTCTCTCCCCTCGAACGGCCCGCTCGGCGAGACCACAAACCACCCGAGCAATGTCGCTTATGTCCGTATAGCTGATGCTCTGATCCAGACTGCCAACAGCCTGGTATACACCTCTCGAGGTGTGAAACCCGTACCACGGAGCGATCCCACTATGCAAGAACAAACCAACAAACAGCCTACAAATCTGAATGTCCGCCTCTTGCTGTATCTTCTTAGCTAGCTCGTAATGGCGCTTCTTCCCATCCCACTCGGGGATGCCAAAGTCGTGCAGCGTATGGTCGACGCCAAACTCAGATGGAAAATACAGCTTGACCGATGTTTTTGGCAGCGCGTTGGCAAGCTTATCCCGGAGAGACGTCCCTGCCGATGAGATCCTAAGAAACATTATCAACGTCCAAGTCGGCACTGTTTATTTGCTGTCAGTTGATTGACTCACGCGTTGACGAGCACATCAACGCCGTCTAGTGCCATGATCAAGTCATTCTCGTCGCACTCGTTCTCGATGATCCGGATCTCCGCGCCCAAGGTCGTCCATCTCTCTGTGCTCGGGGTGTGTCGACGAGCAAGCGACACGAATCCCGAGAGCCTGTCTCGCAGTTCTGGCGAAAGGAAAGTGTTGGTCAGGCGCGTGCCCAGGTCTCCCGTTGCTCCTGCCACTGCGATGACTGGCTTGTCTGGAGAGGGCACAAATGGCTTTTCCATAATTTCAACTGCAGCTGTTTCGTTTGCTGCCTCGGTTCGGTGGACCAAGTTCGCCGTTCTGGACCTATGCTTGTGGCACAAGCATCAAGGCTTCGGGCCTCAGTGTCACAGGGCGGAGCTTCCGAGCCGGGTCTACATTCTGGTTTGCTCCAACCAAGCATTCAGATTTACTCGTTCGAGGGTCTATTGATCATCCTCCTTTGTCATTATTGCCTGCATTTCTCGGCTTTACAGATCCTTTGAATATGTCAACGACTTGATTATACATCCTCACGGTGGTTGTCTGCGCCCGAGCTGGGCTGGGGTAAATCCGACCGATGAATTTCCGAGGCTGCTACCGCTCACCGGATCGGAACTGTGGCAGCTATATCTCCTAGGCTGGTCTGAGCCGGGGAATTTCTCTGCTATCAACGTGAGAGTATCGTGGATGCTGAGCTCGCTCTGGCCTCAAGTATTGTCATGCATTCTCTGTAGACAGAATCACGGGTAGTAGGTAAAGGCAACGAACCAATCATCCGTCGCGTGTACCGACCATCTCAAATCCTGGCTCCTTCTCTGGCCATCGTATCATCAAGACGTGTTTATGGACACCGCTGCCTCCCCATTGAGCCATATCGCATTCAATGGCACCGTCATTGGGCCCCGCCGGCACAAAGCCATGCTTCAGGTACAGCGGATAGCCCGGCGGTGTCGCAGCCAGCACGACCGGCACATTCAACCTGTCTGCCCAGGGGAAGATCCAGCTGAGCAGCGTGCTCGCGATGCCTCTGCGAAGATGCGAAGGTGATAGGGTAGAGAGGCCTCGGACCTCAAAGCAATGCATCCCGCCGAACTGTCTCTGCAGCGCGGTTTCGACAAGACCGTCCCAGTGCTTGCGCAATTCGTTGTGCACTGAAGGAGGTGGTTGTGGTTGGAGAAGGATCTCGTCCTTCGAGTCTGGCGTAGTAGTTTTGGCGTTCTGACCCTGGTAGTGGGAGTGCGCATCCTCCGGCGGATGGTACGTGAATTCTGCATAAGCCACGATGCGTCCTTCAGATGATGACGATGATGGGTGGAAGTCATCATGACTTTTCGCGGGGTTCTTTTCGTTCAAGGGTTCCAGATCGAGGTCGCGAACGACCAGATATTCCATTCGCATCACGTTCGGACCCAGTCCGTCGTGATCAAACCCTGCTATCCGTGGTGGTTTCAGGTCTGTGGCAAGCTCGGATCGGTAACATGCCTGGAGCCAGCTGGAAAGCTCAGCCTCGGGGGTCGCCCCGTACCTGAGTTCTCCTAGCGGAGTCATCGTCATTGAGGACAGCGCGATCGCTGCCATGTCGGGGACGATGGCGTCCGCATTCTCCAACGAGAGACGGACCGGCTGTGTCAATCTCATTGTTGGCAGCGTCTGCGTCTGCGTCTGAGGGTCGTCTGGGGGTCAGTCCACGTGTCCACGCCGTCCACGCACCTCAAGTCGCGGGGCGGGGCGGGAGTTACAGTACGCAGTACGAAGTACAGTAGTGCATCACTGTAGCTTCCTTCATGCTAAGCCCTATGGGCCCGCCTTGCCGCGATGACCGGGCCGGGCTGTCAGCGTGACGACCTTGTACGCACAGTAACAAGGTCCGAGTACACGCAGTATCTCATTGTGGCAGTGGGCGTTGTGGGGAAGCCTTGGCCGTGCACGCCTTAGTCTCTATCTCCGCTTGCTGAGACCTCGGTATCCTTCGGTTCAACAAATAAACACCCTCCGCGACAGACAGGGTAGGATGGGCCTTTATTTCTCTACTTAAGCCTGTACGCAGAATAGACACGAAGTCAACTTACGAATGTCTTTTAGACGTTTGCCTTCGAAAGTCACGTCACGCCGTTCCACGATTACCACTGGGCAGAAGCCGGGCCCCCTACCGAGAGCCTGAGCCGCTAAACGCTGACAAGACCGATCGGAAGAGTCTGATCCAGTTCCGGAAGCAACGACTGCTAATTACATACCTACTGTATATTGTATATACTTGCCTTTTCAGCTTCAGGCTTATTCTATCCTTCCTCCCTCCCTTTGGAGCTGAATCCCCCAGCGTTTGGCCCCATTTGCTCAATTCTTCTCGGCTAAACCACCATCGCATTCCCTCGCCAAAGACACAATGTCGATCACCACACCAGTCACCCAACTACTGGGCATCCGCCATCCCATCCTGCTGGCCGGCATGGGCCAGACATCAGGCGCTCCGCTCGCAGCTGCCGTGTCGAATGCCGGCGGGTTGGGTGTGATCGGCGGTGTAGGCTACACGCCGCAGATGCTGCGGGAAATGATCGATGAACTGAAAGCCGGCCTGAAGGATCCGTCCCTGCCATTCGGCGTCGACCTCCTGATTCCCCAGGTCGGCGGGAGTGCGCGCAAGACAAACACCGACTACACGAAGGGCACGCTCGACCAGCTCGTGGACATCATCATCGCGGGTGGGGCGAAGTTGTTCGTCTCGGCCGTGGGCGTCGCGCCCAGGCACGTCGTCGAGAAGCTCCACAAGAACGGCATCCTGTACATGAACATGATTGGACATCCCAAGCACGTGCACAAGGCGTGTCAGGCCGGTGCGGATATCATTTGCGCACAGGGCGGCGAGGCGGGCGGTCACACGGGCGACACGGCGACGAGGTATGTACAGCGACCGTACTTCTTTAGGGGAGTGCCGCCTCGGCCAGCAGTCTTGATCCCCATGACATTTGATCTCTAACTTTGGATGTATCGTAGCGTCCTTGTCCCCGCCTGCGCCGACATCGTCAAGCAGTACACCTCGCCACTGACGGGTCAGCCGGTCCAACTGGTCGCGGCAGGAGGCATCTGCGACGGCCGCGGCATCGCAGCCGCACTCATGCTCGGTGCATCGGCCGTCTGGGTCGGCACAAGGTTCGTCACGGCCAAGGAATCCGGCGCTCCGGAAGCGGCCAAACGCGCCATCATCAGCGCCGACTTCGACAGCACGATCAAGTCGACCATCTGGACGGGACGGCCTTTGCGGGCTCTGGCCACGCCGTACGTGCGAAACTGGGAGACGAACCGGAGCGAGGAGATCAGGAAGCTGACGAGCAGCGGCATCATCCCGTTACAGCATGAACTGGATCACCTGGACAAAATCGGCGGCATCACAGAGGAGATTGACGACCAAAGCACCCTGAGGCCAATGGGGCAGGTGTCCGGGCTGGTGAACACGCCGAATCAGACCGCCGAGGAGATTGTCAGAGAGATGATGGACGGTGCTGTCAAGGTGCTGCAGAGCGCGCAGGGCTTTTTGCGTGTGGGATCGAAGCTCTGAGTGTGTACATAGGGGTTCTGAACGGTGGTTAGTGGCAGTGAAACGGGGAGTTGATGAAGCGGTCTGCTTGTCTGCTTGTCTGCATCTGCATCGCAATCAAGCCCTGTATCCTTTGGACCTCGAGTATCGCTAGACTGCTCAACATTAGTCTAGGCTTGGTGGACGGCGGCATGGTGTTTGATCCCTCCATCGACACATCGACAAAGCAGCGCGACTTCGAGGAAACCAATGTGTTGGTGTCGTGATCATTTTCAAGGCAAAGACTTGAAGCCTCACAGGTAAATAATGTCTGACAGAAGACTGAAACAGCTTTGCCGGCGGAGATGCAGGCCGATTCCTAAATCGACAAGTCTGACGTCAATAATTATTTCCCTCGCACTGTTACGTCACACCTCGACGCGACCGGGATGCTCCTTGAAACTTCACTCTTCACTCTTCAACCGCTGAGATACAGCGCTCTCCGTAGCAGTGTTCGCCTTCGTCTTCGCCTTCGTCTGCGTTCAACTTCGCGAATCAGGGTCAGCCGCATCTCGATAGGGTACGGGTGGATCAGCCGTAGATGAAAGAGAGCTCGAAATGCAGACTTGAAGCCCTCAAGCCATGGTATCTGCGCTCGCCGACTGAAACCAATTGAGTGTTCGTATAGTTCTTGGTAAGGATGGGCACAGGCGATGGATTGGCCGCTCGCGGGAACAACGATGAAGACGCGGGCCCGGAACATCACAGCCGCACACGAAAAGGTCCATTGCGAAAAGGTGAAGCTAAGCATCTGGGACAGAGAAGTGTGTGCAGGTCGCCGAGCTCTGATTAGTGCCACCTGGCAGTTGTGAACAGGAACCTTGCAGCCTTACAATGATAACGGCACAACTCACCAGTCTTGATGCTTCCTCCGAAACGGTGACTGCGAGGATGTGCTACCCCGTCTCACTCTTAGGCGGTTGCAAAGAACGCTGAGCGAAGAACCCCCAAGATCTGGTCCACGGAAGAGAACCATATGTTTTCCGTATACAACGGTGTGCCTGCAACAGACTGGTACATTTTCGAGCTGAGGCTTACCGTGGCGTTTTGATGCAACGCTTTTGCCAATGCAGACAGTAGCAATCCAGAGCCATCCTGGGCTGTGCTTTCGTCGATGCGGACCGTGCCACCTTTCAGAACGTTGGGAATTCTCGAACAAGGACGTCTCCTCGACGACTGTCTAAGTTAACTACGTCCTAACCGAAGTGTGGATAAATTGTCCTTCGGTTGTGAAACTGTGCCGCCAATCAGGCGTCCACAATGGGGACTGAGCAGTGACCATGCTGGCATCAACGACGCTCTCGGGATTGCTCGTGACTCCTATACGGTCCAACCATCAAGTGTGCGCGGGTGCAGAGGCAGCCACACATCCTCGCGGAGTTCGAGCGCATAGCTGATGAGCTAGGAGGCGAAGCTTCAAACCACCGAATCCGACGCCAATGATCGCTTCAACCACAGCGCCAGAAAATATCCGCTGGCAGAAACTATTCAATGGAACGACTCGAGCGCAGTCGCTTCCTGGCTTGCCAACGACGACTTCACGAGATGGTGGATCGTCAAGTAGAGATCACTCCCAAGTTTGTCCGTGGTCCACTGCCGCCGGGAACGAACCTGGCAAAGCATGGCCTGTGATCTAGACTCGCCACTGCCCTTACCTAGCCCCAGCTTGTCCGTTCCGTCCGAGGGTCGTGCAAGATGGGCAAGGCAACTCTCATGAAACGCCATCGACTCCCGGGACATGGAGTGGCGGCTATGGGGGACGATGACCACCTCCCCTGGAAAAGCAGCCAAAGTGCCGGACCAGTCGCTATGCGAACTCTTCAACGTCTACCATGCCATATTCCGAACCGAGCAATGTTTGCGCGCACTGGAGCGGTCATCGCTCTGATTTCCGAATAGGTCACACCGCGTCACGACTGCGAGAATCACATCTGGGACCATTTCGATACTGTCCAACCAATCGATCCTGTCAGCAACAAGAGCACAGCTGGGAGATATGATGCTGGAGAAAGTCATTTTGTCACTTATTGCGCAGACCCATGTTCGTACAACACGGTAAATGGGATGATAGGACTGTGTCTTTGGAACGAGCGAAAAGGTGACATTGTTGTGCTGCTTCCTGGATACAGCGTTCCATACCTTCTGCGGAATGCATCAAGTAGTGAGGAGGAATTCAACTTGAATGGTGATTGTTTTCTGATGGGTATCCTGGAAGAGGAGCTCATGCGTGAGCAGAAGGAGAAGTGCATTAAGACGGAGATGTTCTCGTTATTGTTGTGACATAAAGACAGCACCAAAGCGACCCGGAGACCTCCCGACCTGATCACCAGCGGTGTATATCAATGCGCCACTCGCTTTCATCGAGTCAGTACTTATCTTTTGGCTGCAATGGTGCCTGAGGCCACGATTGTACTTGTACCCTTTGAGAATGAGGGGGATAGTACATTAGCCGTTGGCCACATGCGCATGATGTTGCCGTTGGTTGCCATGGCTGGGCGGTTACGGATTGAGATAAAGACATCGGAAGGCCACGCAATGTCCAAGAACTTGCCCGGCTTCTGTGGTGTCCTGCGAACTGACCGAGCTGTCGAATCAGGAAGCTCGGGCTACTGGTGTCACAAACACTCGTACATTCTGTGTACCTACTGTGGCTACCGACCTCGCTACGACTCCCTGCCCTTTCGACCCGGCTTCGGCTTCCTGCTCTCCTGACTCGGCAGATCCGGATCTTCAGGCCTCAGCAACACCTTGCACGGCTCTCCTGCACTTGCCGCTCACTGGAGCATCCAATCGCCCATCTGTCTGTTTCAGCCTTGGGTTCCCGTTCCTGGAAGACCCCCCTGTTGGACATGACGACCCCGCACCTGGCGGGGGTGGTCGACAGCTGTCCGCGCATTCTCCTCAACTCGGCGGCGAACATCACGACCTCTGAGCACATTTGGAAAGTTCAAGCCCATTGGCGGGAGAACCGTTGGCCTGAGGAGCTACCCAGCTACAGTAACCACATAGATGCAACGCCGGCTCGCAGAAACCTGCGCATCCTATCTCCATATCGTCATGCTATCTGTCCCATGTTTCGTGGACCTATCATCGTGGCTGCCTCAGAATGCTTCTAACTCACGGCATGTGTCGCCATTTGTGCTCTCTCATCACCTGGCGAATGAAGTTGCCACTTGCAGATCAGAAGGATTTCGAGTCTACCGCCCTTCGGCACTAGAGGCAGGTGTGATCAGGCATTCTGGTATGAGCAGGTTGCGGAAAAGCGCACCGCTCGCGGGCAACTCAAGAAGGCCATATTGCTCAGGGATGGACGCAAGGATGCTCGTGTCCCCTCCCTCTTTTCTCTGCTCTCCTGGCTTCTGCCTTCCACTGCGTCGGGTCTTGACTTATTGTACGAGAGATGATACAGGCCAAAATGCTTCGACAAATCCTTTCAGCTGCGACCCTAGTTGCTGTCGTAACCGCGCAAAATGAAGGCATCATTGAGACTCTTAACACCGTGCCAGAACTGTCCGATCTCGTGACCTATTTGGACAAGTATCCAGGCCTCACCACATGGCTCCAAGGACTATCCGATATCACATTCCTCGCGCCAAGCAATGATGCTTTCGCCGCACTGGCCGACTCATCAGCCGTCCCAAGTGTACCGGTCGACGAGATCGACGCAGAGGCACTGCTAAGTTACCACGTGCTAGATGGGACCTTCTACGGTTTCGGCTACGACGAGTACATCCATCTTCCAACGGCTATGCTGCCCCATGCAGATGCCAACGAATCAATGGTCACTGGCGGCAGCATGGTCATCGCCAGAGGCTCATCCTGGTCCAGTGCCGTAACATTCACTTCGGGAGACCTGGAGACGTCAGAGAGCGATGGCGTCCCCTTGAACTTCACGGGCGGTGTCATCTATACCATCGACTCCTTCCTGACTCTTCCCCAGACGTTCCAGCAGACGGCTGAGGAACAGGACATGCTTGGAGCGCAGCCTTTTGCCGATGCGGTGATCACGGTCCCTGGCACCTTGGAGAACGTGACTATAGATGACTTATCCGGAGTCACCATCTTCTTACCGATGAACTACTCTTTGCAGGAGGTCGGCAATGTCATTGAGAATATGACCAAGTCAGAATTCGATCGGTTGGTCGCATATCACATCATCGACGAGGTCTTGGAGATTAATCCGGATTCGCCTCCCACCGGATACTACTCCACGTACGAAGGCACCGGCGTGACCATCTTCAGCTCCAACGACTTTGTGTTCATCAACAATGCTCGAATTGTCGGCTCGCCGAATTGGATCTTCAAGGGAGGCATGATCTACACGATCTATGGGTACGTCTCGAGAGAGAGAGAAAGCCGGCGCCGCACCAAAGTCAAAAGGCTAACATGATCCGCAGAGTTCTCAACCCGCGCAACGTCTCAATTGATGCCGACGCAAGTGACGCCGAAATCGCCTTTGCCGGCGCGACATACACGCCCGACTTTACCTTCCCGACCTCGGACTCCGGCTCGACACCCAAGGGCAGCTCGCCTTCGGCAATCTCGAGCGCCAGTTCCAGCGGCCTGTCTACCGGAGCGAAAGCAGGCATCGGCGTGGCTCTAGCAGCTCTTCTGGCCGTCCTCATCGGAGTCTGCTTCTTCATGCACCGGAGACGGCGGAACAAGCGCGAACTCGGTCTCGACACGACTAACACAAAGTATCAATACCCAATGAGTTACCCTTTGAAAGACCTGGGGGTGTCGATTTCTCACGAGGAACTGGTCGCCAATGCGGCAAAACCTGCGCTCGGGCCTATCAAGGAGTTTACCCCAAGTGCGAGCGTGCATTCGCTTGGTCAAGCAGTCAAAGAGACTTCGATCTGAGTGGGTGAGTGGGTGAGCGAGCGAGCGAGCGAGCGAGTGAGGTGACTGGGTTGAATCTTTGGACGGACGGTACTTGCCCTGCCCTCATGAGTCGAGGAACCCGTACTAGTACATATGTATGGGAATGGCGAATAGCGAGGACGAGGCATCGTTCACTTGAGGCTGCCGACATATGTATGGGGATGGCCATCGTTCACTTGAGGTTGACATTATATGTGTAGGCGATGCGAATTGCGAGGAAGAGGGATCGTCCACCTGAGGTTGACAACATATATATATAGGCGACGGCCTATGGCGAGGAAGCAGCATCGTCCACCTGAGGTTGAGGCTAGCAAAGGTGAAGGGGAAGTTGAAGGTGCAGGTGAAAGCCAATACAATCTCGTGGTACTGTACTCCGTACTCCGTATTCCATTCGCATTGAATAAGTACAGCAGTGTACATGTCGCGCTCTAGTACCTTTAATCTGCTAGGTCAATACATTCGTTTGGGCGCGCGGGAAAGGCGCCCCCAAATCACTTACAGTACTTCGATATGTACACGATCGGGCCGGGTCAGATCTGGACACCATAATATACATATTGTACGTAAGTATGCATTCGTACATGCAAGGGCTACACTCAGATGATCTAGGTAGGCAGGTAGGTAGGTAGGTAGGTAGGTAGGTAGGTAGGTAGGTAGGTAGGTAGGTAGGTAGGTAGGTAGGTAGGTAGGTAGGTAGGTAGGTAGGTAGG